CAACCTTCGAGCCAGACAGTCGCAGCCTCGCGGATCGAGGTGGCCTCACAAACTTCCTGCCAAACCTGCCCGCTGCTCCGACATCTGGCTACGTCGACTATGGCAAAGCAACCCCTAGGTACTAGCTGCGCCATCACCTGCATCGCCGCTGCCGCCGCCGCCGCCGCTGCTGCTGCTGCTGCTGCTAGCAGGGGCCATGACTGCAGCCAACCTGTCAAGCCTTCCGCCAAGAGGCTCCGCAGCGCGCGCAAAGGCTCTCCAGCCTGCCTTTGTTCCTTCGCAATCCGCCGCCTGTATCGGGCCCATGTCTGCACGCCGCGCACCTCCCTCGCACATGATAAGCATCGCAATGGCTGGTAAGCGGCTGAGTCGATTCGAATGTCCGCCAAAACTGGTCGCTTGCGTCCGAGCCCGGCCAGCAGGCGGGATGACAACGGGCAGCGCCCTCGCTCCCCGCCGCCAACCCATCGGCGGTCGTGGGCCCAAGCCCGTCTACATGTGGATGCCGAAAGCCTTGAGCCGTTCGCAGCTGTCTATCACCTCGTTCTTGATCCTCTTTGCCGCCTCGGGATCGCTCTGTACGCCACAGCAAAGCAGAATCCAGAAGACGAGCAACGTCAGCACGAACCCCTATGACCATATGTGCGAGCGTTCGTCGATCGCAATGTCGAGAAAGACTCACGCCGATGCCCATAAACCCTCTTGTCGAAGCCAGCCTCCTCTCTTGCCACTCTCTCGCCCGTTGGCAGCTGCCGTACATTGCCTGCTTGTACGCCGACTCGACACGGTTCTCGAAACTGGCCAGATCCGCCCGGCTCTTTTCGCCCGTGACTATCGGGTGCGAGTTGAACTGGCGGTCGTTGACATAGTATGCCACATTGTGCTGCGGCGTCATGCGTTGCGTCCGGTACAGCCCCGTCGGCTGCCACTCAAAGTTGGGATCCGGTGTCGAGAAGAGCGCCGGCGCGTACGTCAACAGCGAAAACAGGCCCAGGATGATGAGCGGCAGGATCTGGAGCAGGATCCCGGCATTTTGCGGCTGCGGCGTCTGGGCGTTGCGGGTGCCGCCCGGCCTCGCCTGTCGGTAGTACTGCGTCCGGCCACCGGGGCCGCCAAAGGTGAACGTGGTGCCGCCGAACCCAGCTGTTATATTGGAGAAACAGGCGTCGACGCAGGCCGAGATGGAGATGCGATCAGTGTGCTGCGACGAGGTCGTCCTCTTGCTCGGCCGCGCGGCCAGCTTCCACTCACCGTTGCCCATCCCTCCGCCAAAGAACATGTTGAACAGATCCTGCGGGTCAATCTCGTCGCCGTACATGCCCCCTCTGAACGGCGTCCCGCGCATGCCGCCTCCGCCGAACCGTGACCCGGCACCCGAGGCGGCTGCCCCTGCGGAAGAGTAGCGGTTGTCTGGGTCGCCTCCGAACCGGTCATACGCGGCTCGCTTGTCCTTGTCCGAGAGGATCGTGAAAGCCTTTGAAACGGCTGCGACAGCGCACGCAGACAGCCACAGGGCGGGAGGGGAGCTTTGTCAGTCTTTGACGGCTTCAGCGATCAGGTCGAGCCTCGCAAGGACCGGGCCTAGCTCACTCTTGAAAGCCTCGTCAGCCCCGGGAGCTCCGTTCTTGTCAGGGTGCAGCTGCAGCGCAAGCTGCGCGGTGAAGAGTGGGATAGGACCAGGCGGGACGATATCTGATCAGCCATGATGTTCGCACCGCCTATACTTTCGAGCAGAGCAGCGAAGCGAGGCAAGAGTGGAAGATGCCAGCTCCCCAGCTCGAGTGGCACCTGCGGCGAAGCAGGAGCAAAGCCTCACCTTTCTGTAGGCCTTTTTGATGCCTCCATCGTCGACCGTCTTCTCAACCCCGAGCACCTTGTAAAAGTCGCCGCCGGCCCTTTTGACCTTCGTGACGACCTCGACGTGGGCCTGGGTGTACTCCCTCTTTGGTGCACTCGAGGGAGTCGAGGCCGATGTCGACCCATTTGCCGAGGCGGTGCTCCTGGCCCGTAGGCCCTCTTTGGACGTCGAGGCGCTTGCAAAAGACGATGAGGCTGCCGAGCCCGAAGCTCCGCTCTTTTCGAGCCGGATCAGGAGCGCCTCTGCGGAGGGTGTCGAGTAGATGGCGATGCTCTTTTTCGCCCACTTGATGGCCGCCGCCGTGTCTCCATTGCCGTCGTGCTTCAACGCGAGGTTGAGCGCCTTTTGCGCTTCTTCAGACTCCATTACGCCCGGCCGTGGAGCGGTTCGCAGACGTCGAAGAGGAGCAGGGGTAGACGAGAGCGATCCCAGAATCCAGTGACGGCTAGAGTTTGGCGGAGGCCGGATCGCAGTCTGGTGCAACGAGTCTCGGACGGACTGATACCCCGGCCGCGACGATCGCAAGCTTTCGTGGAAGAGTCGAGGGAGAGAGTAGAGAGATAGGTAGTGGCAAATCGAATCGGGGAAGCAGGCGGAGATGGTGTCCAGAAGGTCGGCAGGCTGGCCAGCGGAGGAGCGGGATAGAAGCACGAAGGTGGGGTGAGTGGCCGGCAGGCTGCGTGGGCCCGGGCGAAACTCGACTGCCAGCCGCATGGCCGGCCAGGCAGAGAGGCCACAGAAGCGGCCTGGCCTGGCTTCCTGCGTGGCCAAGGGCGGGCCTGCTTGTTGGCCTGTGCCGCCGCCACGCCACCCGGGCGGGATATCAAGTGAAGCCAAAGCAAGCAAACCCGGCACAGCCCTTTCTCGGGACACGGCGAGGGTCCTCGGAAATTTCTGGGAGGGCGGGGCACGTACATACACACGCTGGTTGCCTGGCTTGGCTTGGCTTGGCTTGGCTCGGCCTGACCTGAGACCTCTCAGGGGGGCGGCCGGAGCGCGCCCAAAGCTTGCGTCTCTTGCATCCGGCCCATCATCACCCTCCTCTTCCCTACTCAGTCTTCATCCATACTGCCCCTTCCCGCGCGGTGCTCTTCGATCCTCCGACTGATTTCCGGCAAGCAGAGGCAGGAGCGAACGGCGACCGACATCCCGCTCAGCCATCCCTAGCGAGGCTCCAGAGGCGAGATCGACCATGGCCGGTCGAGCCGTTGCCACCCGCGCGGCCGCTGCGCTCTCGTCTGGCGGCGCTCGTATCCCAGCGCTCCCACCGACATCGTCTCGTTACCTCACCAGACATCTCCGGGTCTCCACTGCGGGGCCCTCCTCCGGGCAGTCGGGAACAAGACGGCTGGCCACATTCTCCTGCCTCTCGTCGAGCGACTCAGACTCCACTCCGACACACGCAACCGCCAAGCCATCCCTCGCGACGCAGTCCAGCCGCCGCCCGCCACCGGAGCGTGTGGTGCTTCTCACCGGGCTGCCCGCAACGGCCACGCCCAATGATATTCGTCGCCTGACGGGCAACGACGCCAGCGGACAGCACTTTCATCGCATCGAGTTCCTCCGCACCCTCTTCTTCAACCCGTCAGGCAAGGCGCTTGTCTACTTCTCTACCGACAGCTCCGCCCGCCGCTTCCAGCGCGCCTGCTCCAAGCGCATCTTGGGCGCCAATGTCCTCGACTCGCGCTGCATGTCCGACGCGGCGGCCGACAACCTCCTCGCCGTCGCCTACTCGAGGCACCCGCGACACCTCCAGCTCCCTCTCGACCTCGTCCACTATGAATCCGGCAAGCTAGTCCTCTTGCGAGGGCTGCCGTCTCTGACCACCGAGGACAAGATGCAGACCAAGCTGAGCCGCACCTACGACCTCATGGAGACCGGATGGTGGCGTGGAAAGCGGCGCAGCAACGCCGGCTACAAGGCTCCGAGGAAGCCTGGGTTCGACCCTGTGTCCAACCACGCCCTCAACCTCGGACCCGTCCTCCGTCTGCACAACATCCACGAAGACGCCTCGACGGCCGCCTTCCTAATTAGGCTCAGGACGACGGCCGAGGCCATGCGTCTCGCCCGCATGTGGCACAACTCCTACTTCACTCCACAACGCTTCAACGTCGACGAGACCGGCGGACGATACCGCATCGAGGCCCACGTCATCTACTAGCGATTGCAGGACTTCATCGTCCGCCGCTGCCCTCCTCAAAACCTCCTTGTCAAGGTGCGTACTAGGACTTGAACCGTTTCCACTCGTGCTTGCAGACGATGAGCCGTCACTTTGGTCATGATGGCGCGCGCTTCGTGTTTCCGCATCATCCTTCGCTTTGGGCGAGAGGATGCTCTCAGGCCGCCCCGCTGCCGTCGCATCCTCGCCTCGGCGATCGCTTCCTTCCATCCTCGATCAGCTCAGGGGCACGGGCCCAGGGCCGCCAGCCTCAGCCTTTGCGAACCGGTGATGATCAAACTTGCACGAAGAGACCCCTGCTCGGGTCGCGGTGCAGCCCGTCAGCCCGGACAACTCCGCTCGCCAGACGCCGGCCTCCGATCTGCGCTCCCTCGCCTTGCCTAGGATCTGCGTGGCTTTAGGCCGCTACTGTCCTCGGCAGGGCGATGGGGAGCGGATTTCCGCCACGCGAGGCGGTGCGCGTGGACGGCCGCTCGTGGACCGTCGATGCTGTACCCATTAGCGTGCCGGGGGCTGCGCCTAGGCGTCGGGCTCGTCGTCGCCCTTCCTGTTGACCCCGAGATCGCTCCCGACGTGTTTTGGAGGAGCCGGCTGCTCCAGCGAGGCGGTTTCTCTCCTGAGCTCACCTGCTTGCCTTGGCGGCGGGTCGAGCTGGAGAGGCCGTCGCCTGTCTTTGTGCGGGCGACGTGCCGACCTGCGAACTGCGCCTCCCATGACGAGGCAAAGGTGAAGGGTCGGCGGCCGCCGAGTCGAGGGCGTGTGAGGCCCACGACGAACCTCGACCATCCTGCGCATATTTTCATCTTCAAGCGAGTCATACGACACATTTCGGAGGAAAGGAAGACAAGCGACGACCGACCCGATCAAGGATATCCCGGACAGACAGGCAGGCAGGCAGGCAGTTGCGGACGGACAGGCAGCGCGGGGCACGCACACCAGAAGTGTCCATGTTTCCCTCGGGGACTTGTTCACATCGGCGGCGTGTCCTCACTGCCCGGTCGTTGCGCACGGGTTTGCGCGACGGAAACCTACTGGCCATCTCGGATTGGCGGACCCTGTGCGAGCGGGTCTTGGACGCCCTCAGCGGCGACGGGTGGGTCACGGTCTCGCCCGTTGCGAGCCGTGACCAGCCCGCGCCGGCAACATCAGAGGACGACGAGCTGCGTCGAGAGACGGGAAGCTCGAGGCGCGATGCCACAAGAAGCGGCACCCCGCATCTCGTCGATGTGACCGCAGCATCTCACCGATTCGACCCGACCTAGGCTTGCCACGGACCGATCCTCGCAGTCAGCAGTTGTGTTTGCGCCGAGGCCGCCTCTTGGGAGGGTGGCGATCCTGGAGCAGGGTTCCCACAAGCGGACCACCCCCTTTGCGCCCCAGGGCCGCCCTCTTCGGAGGTGCCTCGAGGTTTGCACGACCCGTCACCGGCTATCCTTCGACAGCTCTCGGACGAGCTTGTTCCCCTCGGCACGTGCGACAAGGCCCGGATCTTTTCGGCATCTACCGGCGTGCGACTGAACGGTCCTCGTCAGCACGGCCACGAACGACCTTCACGGACACGCGCCAGACACGCCCGAGCGGCTGATCTGGTTTTTCTTCCCGATACGACGGCGCCATCATCGACTTGCTCACCTCGTCCGCAGAGTGACGGATTCGACCGAAGCTTTCAGTCCCTTCTGGCGCCCAACGCTGGACGGCGGATCGGCGACTCCGAAAGGATCCCCCGTGCTGGCGGTCTCGCATCGCACGCCGCTCCCTCGTTTCACCGCCGGCTCGCTGTGCTGTGGAACGTCGGACTGGGTCGGATTGCGAGTCGCCAGTGTGGATGATCCGATCGGACGCCGTCGACTCCGCCGTTTCGAAGAGCAGCTGCCCTCAGCTTCGCAAGGCGCCTGCCTCCCGCATTGGCAGGCGGCAGCGTGGCCTTGGCGGGGCGGGGATCAGACGGGTGAAAGCTCTGATGCTCCTTTGTCGGTGCCGGCGCCTCGGTTTTAGGGATCGGCTTCGACGAGCTTACGACGCGGGGTTGCATTCGTGCAGATCCCTACCCGATGACGGCCAGCCCCCTCTTTTTGCGCGTCCTTCTTCTACCACTCTTGCTCTCTGCTGCTCTTGTCGCTCTTTCGACACCTGTCGCTCGAGTCGGATGCCCATCAACGCCATTGTCACCACCAACCACCACCACAATCTCTGCCATCACCCCTCGTCACTCTTATCCTCGCGTCCACCGAGCAGCGCCAACCTCGCTGCATCGTCTCGCTGCGGCGCGAAGCGGCACGGCACGGCGGACGGCGGGACGGAGTCTGCTCCTCGCTGACGTGGCTGCCACCTTGCGACGCGCCTGCACGACCCGAGCAGAGGAACTAATCAGCCAGGGAAGCCTCTTGAGATTACGTACCGAGCAGGTGCGAGCGCCGGAAGGCCCTCTTCTTCGCGCTCCGGCCGCTCGGCTGCACTATCTCGAGGAAGCCCACTGCGCCCCTAACCCAGAACAGAGATCTGAGGTTTCGCTCTGCGGGGCTTGCGGTGCTGGCAATGTTCCTTGGTCCGTCTCTCGAGCTGGCGGCGAGGATGGAAGGGTGGAGACGCGGCGCAGCGCCGCGCCGTGCACCCATGACCAAACTGACTGGCTCTCATCGTCTGCACCCAACACGACGTCGGGCGGCCCCACCAACGACGATGGAGAAGGAGCACAGACGAGGTGTTGAACAGAGAAGAGGCTGACGACGCACCAGCTTGTCCTCCCTGTGTCCCCACCTCCGGGTCCTCCGCCCCCGTCTTGCCTTCTTCGTCGATCCCGTTTTGGCTCTTCTGTCCCGCCCCCCCTTCCGCTCTCATCAGCAGGCAAAACACGATGCGCAGGACGACGACGACGATGACGTCGTCCGGGATCGCTTCATCCCGACGACGGGACCGGCTTCAAGCACCTTCGTCGACACCGTCACTGGCCGCCCTCTTGTACTTGTACCGACATCTGCCATTGCATCGATAGATTGCACCCTTTGCCCAGCTCGCACGCACACACGCACGCTCGCACGCACGCTCGCACGCACGGCCACGCACGTCGATCATCGCACCAGCGCCGGTCGCACCGAGGCTCGCGGCAAGGCAAACGAAAGAATTAGGATCGAGTCGGGAAGTTGAGTGGGATTGCTCCATATCCAAGACAAATGCGTAGCGGGAGGAGACACGGGTCACGCCGCCACCGCCCGGCTACTTGTCCTCCTCGTCGCGGTAGTTGGCCATAGGATCCTCGTAGACGTCCCGGTTGGCCAAGCGGTAAGCCTCGAGCTGCTCCTCTGACACGTCGACATCCTCGTGCTTGTCCCCACCGCGGCCAGGTTTGCCCCTCGAGTTGATCGCCTCGGCCTCCTTGAGCCAGTCCGGCTTGGCCTCTTCCCGCTTCCTTTGTCGCTCCTCCAACTCCCTCGCCAGGACCGGATCGCGCTTGGCCTTTTCCACCTCGAGCGCCTCTTTGAGCTTGGCCTTATCGATCCGCGATGAGACGTCGCCGGTTCCCATGTCCTTGCGCGAGTGGTACGATCGCGGCTTGTCCTTGCCATCCCGGTCCCGATCGCGTCGCGGCGACGAGGTCGATGACGACGACGAAGAAGACGACGAGACCGAGTCTGAGCGGCGCCGCCGCGTTCGCTTGCTGCTGCTTCCCCGACCGCCGCTGCTCTTTCCCTTGTCCTTGCGGTGGCTGCCGCTCCTCCTGCGTGACCGACGCCGGCGGTCGCCATCGTCCGACTCGGACTCGGATGCAGAGGAGTAGGAAGAGTACGAGGAGCGCGACGCCGCCGAGTGGGAGCGCTTCCGCGTGGCCAACGCCTTGCCCTTTCCGTTGGCACCGGTCGCCGCCGATGTTGAAGCGCACGCGGCGGCGACGGCCTTGGACGACGAGGGGAGGCTGCTCATCGACGCCTCGATGCCCGCCTGGCCCGTGCAGTACGAGTTGGGCGTGGTGCTGTGGCAGCATCGATAGCCCCACTGTGCCGAGTTGAGGTCGTACCAAGACCCCCACACGGCCGTGTGGTTGTTGTCGAGCACGTCTTCCTCGTACTTGGTGCGCGCCTTTGCGCGCTCGAGGCCCTTGATGACTTTGCCGCTCTGGTTGTACTCGACGTAGTTTTCCGTCTGGCCGGCCAGGAGCTCGCGCGGCAGGGCGTCAAAGTGCTCGGCGCCGCCGTACTTTTCCAGGATGCTGCCCTTGGTCGCCTCGCGCAGCTTTTCCTTTTTCTGCTGGAACTCGCGGTACTGGAGCTCGTTGACCGTCGGGTTGGCCTGGGTGTGGACGTCGCTGTTGCCCCTGGCCTCGGCCTGCCACGCAAACAGCTGCATCTTTTGCAGCTCGGCCGCCTGGCCGGTGCCGCGGGTGAAGTTGTCGCCGGCGTACTGGGCGTCTTCGGGACGGACGTTTGGGTCGGGGGCCTCGCGCATGGATCGCGTCTTTGGGTCGTAATAGGCCGAGTTGACGTCGAGGTTGTAGAGGTACTTTGCGCGGTCCTCGCGGATGCGGAGGTTGCGCACCGTGATGCGCTTGTCGGTGTTGACCTGCTGGCCCACGGCGTCGGCCTTTTCGGCGTACTTGTCCTCGTCCTCGTCGTCCTCGTCGCTGCTGGCAAAGTCGCCGTCGTCCTTTGGGCCCTTTTCCTTTTTGGCGAGCTTCTTTGCGGTGGTGAGGTCGTTGCTGGTCTGGTTGTCGATCTCCTCCTCCCTCAGCCGCCTGCGCTCCTGCTCGATGGCCTCGAACTCCTGCATGACCTTTTTATGGTCGGTGGGGTCGTAGCCGTTCCAGCGGTCGCGCTTTGCGGCATAGTCGAGCCCCTGGACGTCTTCGATGACCTCGTCTGGGCGGATGTCGCGGCCGGTGACCTTTGCGCCCTTTTTCCTGGGCCGCTCGAGGCAGTCCTTGCGCTTGTGGGTCATTGCGCCGCAGTTTTCGCATGCGCCCTTGCGGTACTTTGTGGCTGCGGGTCCGGCGACCTGACCGCGGTGGTACCAGTCGTTGATGCCGGCCTTTACCTCGCCTGGCTTGACGGGCTTCTTTTGGTGCTTGAGCGAGGGTTTGCCGGTGTCGAGGTACCAGGGGGCCTTTGCCATAAACTCGGGGACGTGCGGGTTGATGATGTTTCCATCTTCGTCGATCTCTGGTGCGGCGGTTCCTGCCTTTCTCGCAGCGTCGAGGTCCTTTTGGCGGCGGAACTCTTCGCGGGAGAGTTTGCCGACCGACGACATGGTGGGCGGCGGGTGGCGGGAGAGGGGAGGGTAGCGAGTTGCGGTGTGTCTCCGTTGTGCAGGTGTGGAGGTAGTTGAAGAGAAGAGACAAGCGGGACCAGGTGGGGATGATTTTAGGCAGCAGCAGCGGTGATGGCGGTGGTGGTGGTGGTGGGTGGGCAAGCCGGTGGCGGAGGTTGGCTGAGGGGGTCCTTGGATAGGGAGGGACCCTTTGGGCGCAGTCAAGACGTCGAGTCTGGGGCGGGGGCGCTTTTGCGAGTGCATCGGGCGCTGTTTTGAGAGTCGAGGTGGAGGCAACCACGGATCGGGAGGCGTTGCGGGAAAGCGCGAGCGGCGTCGCGGGCCGCCCGCCAGAGGTCAAGTCATCGTCGCTGCAGCCCATCACTACTGGTCTCTGTCACCTTCCGACGACGACGACGACGACGACGACGACGACGACCGTCACCACCACCACCATCACCACCACCTCCAACCCCATCAACACCAAAACTCATCGTACACTGCCACCGACGCCAACGCAGCCTACCTTGCATCTTCGCATCCCTCATCCCCCGCCGCCTAGCTCTATTCGGGCCACTCTCAGCCACTCGCATCCCTACCGGCTTTCACCCCGATTGCCCAGATGAAGTTCTACCACCGCTAATCCCCCGTCCTAGCCTGGACCGCAACCGCAAAGAGGCACTGCCTCCGACGCACAAACCTCACAGTTCCTCTGCACCTGCCGCACCTACCCCGCTCTCGACATGCCGCCGCCGTCGCAGCTCGAGATTGCCGGCAGCGCAGGCAGGCTGCGCGACTCGCACAGAGCCACCTCACCCAACGCCGCCTCGAGGCACAATCGCCTCCTCAGCACCGCACACAACGCAGCAGCAGCCGCAGCCGCAGACATCGCAGACAGGAAACGCGCAGACCCACCCACCCCATCCAACGGCAGCAGCTCCTTCCGACCCCCAAGGATCCAGCGCGATCGAAAGCCAGAGTACAAACAGGTGGAACAAGACGACGACGAAGAGGAAGAAGGCGCAATCACCGCAGAGACCGACAAGGCCTCCCCTCCGCCCCGTCAAAAGCACGCTCAAGACCCTCCGCAGCAACAACATCATCAACAACAACAACAACAACAAACACGTCGGGACAGCAGCGGCTCGAACCATGCTGCACCCGGGTCCAGCCGCCTCGACCCACCACCTCCGCCCGCCACCTCCAGGCGTGAGGCCGATCGCCACGAACCCGTCCGGCGTCCCAGGACACCACCTCGAGCTGCGGAACCGCGGCGGCCCGCCGACCCGCCCTCGTCTTCGCGCGCAGGAGACGGCGGCTTCTTCACAGCAGCAAGGCCGCTGGACCGAGATCGCTACCGCAGCTCCGAAGACCGTGCTAGGGATGCCTGGGATCGAGGCGCTTCTCCGCCCGCCTACCCGAGCCGTCACAGCATAGGACACCGAAGCGACGCCTACGACAACCGCTACGGCGACGCCTGGTACGGACAACGCGACCGACTGCCCGACGTTGACAGGGACCGTGACCGAGATCGCGCCTTTGCCTACGCCTCCCGCACCAGCGGCGACTCGTACCGGCCTGCCTCGCCCCCTCCGCCATCACGGCGCGGCTACTATCCGCAGAGCCCGTCGCCTCCCCGGGCCGCAGTCGCTCCGAGAGCCCGACCCTACGCCCATGACCCTCGCTCGGCTTGGGACGATGATCTTCGCGATGAGCGTGGCGCCAGACCGAGCTCTTTTGGAGACGCGGACCGTTACCGCGACCGTCCTCCACGGGCACCATCTCCGCCTCGGGATCGCGATCGCCGATTTGGAAGAGACAGCCGCAACGGTGAATGGCACGCATCTCGACCACTCGACCCACCAGCGCATCGGCGGACCCGGGCCGAGTACGACGATCTGCACGACACGCCAGTCAAGGATGGCCCAGCACTGAGCGCAGCCCGACCGGGGGATCTGGATACCAGCCGGCCGGCGACCTCTCGCAAACGCTCGCGCTCGCCCTCTAGGTCCCCCCCAGCCGGCCTCTTGAAGCGCAAGCCCAACTTCACCGCGGTGCAGGCACCCGAGCCTGTCGATGCGAGCACAGCCTTGGCCAAGTCTACGCTGGGAAGCCAGGTCTCTTCGGCGCTGGCGGGCACGTCGTCCTACACTCCGGGGCTTGAGTCGAGCCTCGATGCCAATGGGGCGCTCAGCGGCGTGTCGGCGCCGAGGTCGGGCAAAGACGCCTTGCTGGCCTCGGACAGCAATGACTCCTGGTCTGCGCAGCCTGGCGCGCCCGAGCACCAGGCTGTGGAGAAAAAGTCGCTCCCTGGACCCGACGACAGCCGGGTCTCGAAAGTGGCCAGCGCCTGCGAGGCACTCGATGACCCCAGCTGCCCTTCGGTCAAGCTCTCGTGCGCGCCCCGGAACCGCGGCGCGCTTTCCGGTCCGCAGAGGCGCAAGTCGCGGCCGCCGCCGGTGCCGCTCAACGAGAGAAAGTTCTACGGCTGCAGCTCGCTCGACGACTACGAGATCACGGTCAAGCTCGGCCAGGGAACCTTTGGAGAGGTCAAGAAGGGTCGTCACATCACCACGGGCGTACAGGTGGCGCTGAAGAAGGTGACGATCCACGACGAGCAGGACGGCATGCCCATCACGGCGCTGCGCGAGGTCAAGCTGCTCAAGAAGCTCTCGCACCCATCGATTGTACCCGTCATCGACATGGCCTACCGCCCCTCGCGCGAGCGCGGCAAGCTGGGCGACGTCTACATGGTCGAGCCCTACATGGACCACGACCTCAACGGCATGCTCGACAACCCCAACATCCGGCTCGAGCACAGCCAGATCAAGCTCTATATGAAGCAGCTCCTCGAAGGCACCCTCTATCTGCACAAGAACCGGGTGCTTCACCGCGACATGAAGGCGGCCAATCTGCTCATCAGCAACGAGGGCCAGCTGCAGATTGCCGATTTCGGCCTGGCACGCCCGTATCGCGATCCGGGGCAGGGATGGAAGGCCAAGGGTTGGCAGGGTGGCCTGCACAAGTATACCAACATGGTCGTCACGCGGTGGTACCGGCCGCCCGAGCTGCTGGCCGGCGAGAAGAAGTACGGCCCGCCCATCGACATGTGGGGGATCGGGTGCATCCTGGCCGAGATGGTGACCGGCAAGCCCATCTTCAAGGGCACCTCGGAGATCAACCAGCTCGAGCTCATCTCGAAGCTCTGCGGCTCGCCCAACGAAGACAACTTCCCCGGCTGGAGCTCGCTGCCCGGCGTCAAGAATGCCGATCCTAATGGCCGGCCCGACCCGAATCCGCAGGTGCCGGGCAAGCTCGACTTTGGCAACTACGAGAGGAGCGTGAAGACCTTTTTCCGCACCACGGTCGACGTGTGAGTAGACGTCTGGAGTCGGCCGCATCGTCCGCCGAGCCGCGTCGTGCTGATTCCATCCTTGCCTCGTGCTACGCCGCTGCAGTGGTCCGGAGTGCGCCGACCTCATCGACAAGCTGCTCGTCCTCGATCCTGCCAGGCGTCTGACGGCAGCGGAGGCACTAGACCACGACTACTTCTGGTCGAAGCCGTTCCCGGCTGACCCCTCCTCGTGGGTGTTGGCTCCTGTCTCTGACGTTGTTGTCTGCGAGACCGACCTGGCCCCGTTGCTGACCGCAGGCACTTGATCTGTTCGTTACCTTCTTGCGCCGCCTCCTTCTCTAGCCTGCCCAAGTACGACCCGTCCAAGGAGCTGGACCGCACCAAGCGCGATTTTAAGTTGCCCATCCAGGCGCGACCGCCGCCGGCGCCCCCTCCGCAGCAGACGCAGCCGTACGGCATGGCCCGACAGGCTCCCGGCAGCCACCCATACCCACAGCAAGGACCCGGGATGAGCATGAGCGGCGGTATGGGCATGGGTCAGGGACCAGGACCCGGTATGGGCATGGGCATGGGCATGGGCATGGGCATGGGCGTGGGCATGGCTATGGGCATGGGGGGAGGCACGGGTCGTCCTCCGCCGATGGGCGGGTACGGCGGACCTCCACCTCCCCCCTCAGCACCGGGCTATGCCGACCCGATGGGGGGGCAGCCTGCTGGAGGAGGAGGAGGCTACGGCGCCTTTCCCAACCCTTCGCAGTGGAACGGGCCGGGCGGCCAACGAGGTCGAGGAGCGCCGCTACCGTCGCGACCTCCTCTGCCATCGTACCGAGGTGGCGGCCCACCACCGCCGCATTCACAGGGACAGTACGGCGTTGGTATGGGCATGGGACGGGGCCCACTGCTGCCGCCCTCGCAGCAGCAACCGCCAATGGGAGGCTATCCGCCTTCAGGCGGCATGCGACAGCCGTACCAGAACGGCTCAGGCGGACCACCGGCCAACCCTTACAGCTAAATCGGGCAGGAGTGGACAAAAGGAGGTGGGTGGGCCGCGCGTCGTCGAGTTCGGTCGTTGAACCCGCAACCCCCTCGACGCGGCACCATGCGACCGATCAACGTCGGATGACCAGAACCAAGCTGAAGCTCGCACTCCCCCGAGGCGCAAAGGCCCGACACAAGCTGCATCCATCCGACTTAGGCCTCGAGCAATCTCAACTATCACTCTGCTTTGCCTCGACGATCGTCGCTGCTTGTCCTGTCGTATTTGTACTTCGCGACGGCGTGGGGAACGATGGGAGGGACGAAGGCGTTGGGTGGGAGACAGGGAACGAGAGGCGATCCGGCAGTGACGGGTTTGTGTTTTGCAGGCGGTTGGAGGGGGTCAACGGGAACGGAGCAGATGGCAACAAGAGGGTAACGAGGCCTAGTAGATGGGTATGAGGGAAAAACGAAGAACACAAGGTGCACCCTCTCGACGTCGGGGGCGAGGGCGGGGGTGTAGCGCGGGGCACTTCAGACTAGTACAGGTGGATGATGACGGGGGGCGCAGGCGACGCGTCGTCCCTCTCTCTCGGCCTGGACGGTGCAGCCCCCGCAGCACCCCGACGAGGTTTCCAGCGCCTCCGTCCCTGTGTCGCCTCGTCACCGACGTTTGTCTCGGCCCTATGGGCATGTACCGCACATCCACCGTCGGGCCTACCGACGTGTCGCGGCTGCGGCGGTGCGTGGTGCGCCGAGTGCGACGACGGCGGCGACGACGACGACGACGACGACGACGACGAGGGGGTAAAAGCAAAGTTGGGCGCGGGCGGCGGGTGGGCTGCGCCGTAGTGGGATACAAAGTCGCGGATGGGCAGCGAGCGCGACGAAACGAGGCTGTCGAGGATGAGCTGCTGCGATGCCGACGGTCGCGTCGTCTTGGTGGGTGCTGGTGCTGGTGATGGGCAGGTCGCCGTGGTGGACGAAGGTGCGTGGGTAGGGGCGGCACCAGCAGTGGCGGCGGCGGCGGCGGCGTGGGCAGAAGAGAGCGAGTTGAGGCGATGCAGCGTCGATGCGTCCGGGAACCTCCTTGTCGTCGTCTTCGTCGTCGATATCGATGTGGGCCTGGGCGAATAGACGAGCGTGGTCCGGTCCGCCTTTCGGCAGTCGTCGTAAGTAATGGTGCCCACCGTCGATACCGAGGGGGCGTGTCGGAGCGAAGAGCTGGGTGGGTACCCCGACGTTTTCCTCTGCTCGCCCCTCTCCTTGGCGTCGGCCGCATCGGTGCATCCCCGACACCGATCCCACCGCCCTGCACAGGATTCACAGGGCCAGGACGAAGGCGAGGGCGGCTGCGTCGAAGAACGAGTGACGATCCGGCTCAACCGCTCCTTTCCCTGCTCGTCGACGCCGTCAACCTTGCCGCTGCCGCGGTCGCCCACCTCGATGGTCTGGGACAGTCGAGGGTCCTTTCGTCGGTAGGCAAAGTAGAGGTTGGCCATGCCAAACGTCGAAATGATGAGGACGGCCACGCTGTACGAGATCGTGTAGAGCATGTGCAGCCGGCTCAGGTGCTGCGGATCGTAGAGCACGTCGTGGTAGGCGTGGAGCACGACGGGGACCTGACATGCCCGTGCACAGCCAGGGAAGACGCCGGGGTGGCGCGACAGACACGCCATCAGCTTGCTTGTGCCTGTGCGAGCCAGGTCGTGACAGGTCCAACGCGACTTACGAGGTTGATGCCGAGGCTCAGCGGCAGGCTGACGCCGAGGCACGTCGAGATGAAGCAGTGCACCATGAAGCGTTCTGCCCAAGCGTCGAGGCGCGATGACACCGAGGCAGGATCGTCAGCGGTTGGCCGCCTCGGAGGGGTCTATCGGGAAGCCTCGAGCGGCGGGCGGCGGCAAAGGGACTGGCACTCACTCAGTTCCGACTGCGGCAGGCTCAATCTGCCAATCCCGTATCCGCTCTTTGCCCTGGGCGCGACCTCGCCGTCGAGTGAGACCGAAGTCGTCGTCGTCATGACCTTCGACGAAGCATCCATCGACTTGACCGCATCGTGTTCGCCTGCACCCTGCGGCATCTTGCATGGCTGCTGCTGCCGCTGCCACCGCTGCTGTTGCATGCGTTGGTCGTTCGAATGGCATAGCGGCTGAAGGTGGAACGATGAGCTTGCACCTTGGGGAGTCGCATCGGCAACAGCAGCCGAAGACCAAGCCGAGTCGGATCCAAAAGTCGGAGCGGCCCCGACAGCGCCGCCTCCTCCGCTCCGGCTGTCGGCGGCGCCGCGCAGGGTCTTTTGGCCCTCGAGGTCGCGCAAGACGCGCGTGACGACAAAGTAGGCGACGACGACGAAGCCGACGACGAGGAGCAGGACGAAGAGCACGATGATGAAGGCCAGGATGCCCGTGACGTAGTAGGCGCTGGCCAGGGCGAAGCCGGCGTTGGTCAGGTCCGGGATAATGCTTAGCGGCCATGGAGAGTCGAGCCCAGCCGCCACGACGGCGTCGTACACTTTGCGTTTGTACGCCTGCGCCCGGTACTCGTAGACGCCTCCCAGCACAGCGTAGTAGAAGGGAAAGCTGAAGGAGATGACGGGGAAGATAAGCACCCTGTGTGCCGTCGTGGCCAGTGTCGGGCAAGGCAGGCGCGAGGCGATGGAAAGACAGGGTCGATCGAAACGAGGAAGATCCACGGTCAGTTGCCTTCCCGCTGCCCTGCCGCTTGGTTGGACCATAGTGGCACCAGCGCCACTCACCCGACGTTCCAGTAGAGCGGGCGGACGTGGTGGAGAAAGAGGTGGGCGAACGCGACGAGGTCCCAGTAGAAGATGTTGAGTCCGACGGTGTTTGCGAGGTGCTCAAAGGTGACGGTGACGAGAGGCGTGCGGATGAGGAGGCAGCGCTCGAGAAAGAGGAGGATGCGCCGGACCATGTCGATGAGGAGCCAGAGCGAGAAAAAGGTCAGCTGCGCAGAGAGGGCCGAAGCGACCAGGTGCCGGCCCCTCTTTGGCCCCCGTCGACCGCGTCGTCGCTCTTGAAGGTGCCGTGGCTCCTGGACCCGCATCGCCGTCCCCGCATGCTCGGCGTCCTTCCGGACAAGGACATGATGATCGGCGGGAGCGACCTCGACTTGATCGCCTCGTCCCCACCTTTGCTGTTGCTCCCCCTCCCTGTCCTCGTGGCCGCCATCGCCTTCGTCGTCGTCGTCGCGGCGGTCCTCGCCGTAGTGTTGGCGGCACTCGACCAGCCTAAACAGCCAATACTTGCCCGGGCGGACGTAGACGAGGAAGTAGGCGCAGACGCCGAGCGTGACCAGATCGAAGGCGACAAAGACGAGCGTCATGACCCAGTAGGCGTGCGGGATGATGCCGATCGAGTGCATCTCGACCTGTGCCAGCAGCTCGCGGCCCGTACGGATGCTCCTGAGGTCCATGGGCGGGCCCAGATTGGTTCGCTTGAACGGGTTGAACATCTTGGCGGCCGGCGCCAGCTGTGAACGCAAAAGGGTGAGGGCGAAAGGGCGGGATCGAGAGAGCTCGAGGGATGTGAAGTAGCCGGACTGCACTTGACAAGCTCGATGATGGCTGCCTCATGTGCCGTGGCCTTGGGCGGGAGGCGAGACAGGTTGAAGGGTTGCGGATCTACCGTGCAGGTGCAGTGAACCAGCCAAGGGGGAACGTTGGCGACCCTGAGCCCAGTCGAAGCATGCGTGGATGCTGTAGACGTCGTTGTCGGGTTCCCGTGTGTGGTCGGGCGAGGAGGATTGAAGAACAACAGAGGTGTATGGGCGAAGAGCAGCGTGAATGAGGGGGGTGGCCGGTCGGTTGGCGGGGGGTGGGCGAAAGAGGGTAGCGGATGGCGACGTTGGTATTGTACTCCCGCGACGAGCAGCGCGGTTGTGTGCAAGAGCGGACAGTCTCCGTGCGTCGCTCGTCCCTGGCTGCTTGATCCATCTTGCAGGTGCCATTGCCCCACCTTATGTACATGTCCAGATCGACCCACATGCTGTGAGCATGGGCAGGGCATGCCTCCTGTGGTGGTGGTGAGCTGGTGAGCGCGGCGCCGCACCAAGAGCCCTAGCCCGGCAAGCAGCGGGTGCGTGCCACTTCACATTTGTCGCGGTGTGTCCTTCCGAGCTCCTCTGTCCTTGCTGCAGCCCCAGGGAGGACGGTGCAATGCGGTAGTCAGTAGGTGAAGCTGCAGCTGCCTAGCATCCGTGCTAGCCACCGCCTCGGACCCTTTCTTGCTGCTTGCTTGGGTCTGAGCTCTACATTTGTAGTCGCTCCCACGCTGGTGAATGAAGTGGGGAGGATGGCCGCGTGCTGCCTTCGGCTCAGGGACCTGATCAAGGGTAAGGCACGAGGCGCGACAAGACTGGGCGAAGAGAGGGCTGACAATGCGTACGTCACGCCGTGGCCTCTTTCCTGGCCGGACCTGGACTTGGCAGCAGAGTAGTAGCGGCGCCCTACGCTAGCTGATAGGGCGAGGTGACCGGTCGGCCCGGTCACGCAGCAGAGGGTCCGAACATGCTCGAAGGCGCCGTCTCGTGTGCCTTTGCCCCGGCCTCGCTGCGGTCCTTGGTTTCATTTGTCTTGCTTGCACGTTCGCAGGCAGGCAGGCAGGCAGGCAGGGAGGCAGGGGATGGGAGATGATCGGGACGAGACGAGATGAGAGGGGCCGAGATGAGATGAGAGGAGATGAGATGAATGTGGGGAATGACGGTGGGAAGGAGGAAGAGATGAGCGTACGTGAGACTGCGCCCTCGCCGTTGTCCCGGGGCAAAGGGGATCGATCGGATGGGTGCCTGACAGCCCTCGGAAGGAGATGCGATGGACCGGTTGTCCCCGTGGCCTCGGAGAGGGCGAGCGGCGTTGCGTGGCAACACGGTACAGGGGGAGTAGTGGTGCTCGAGACCTGTCCCACGGCCAAGCGAGGACGTCGATGGCGAGGCGAGGCAGAGACGGAGCGGCCCGCGGTTCACACATGCAGCGATAGACATGATATGATGCTGCAGTCTAGTCTCGGCCAGAGGCAAAGGCCAGGTGGGCGGGTTTCATTTCAGCAGTAGAGTGGCTGCCACGGGTAGCGTGATAAAAGATAGAGGCGTGATTAGCGCGCGGGCGGGTGTCGAGGGTTGGATCGGGATCGGATCGGATCATGATCCGAGGGGCGGTTGGGCTCGCGGTGTGCGGCTACTGGTTGCGGTGTTCAGGCCGACGAGATGAGCTGCTCGAGGCGGCCTTCGCTCTGGGCGCGGAGGAGGTCATCGCAACCGCCGAGGTGCTTCTCGTTGATAAAGATGTTGGGGACGGTCCTCTGCTTGGTCTCGTCAGCGAGGTAGGCCTGGCCGAGGGCGGGAAGAGGCAGGACAAGAGATGATGGGGTCCGGTGTCAGTGCGAGGTGTCGAAAGGTGAGGCGGCTAGTGCCGAATGGCAGAGGATCCGTGCGGGGTGGCTCACCTGGATGTCGGCGCCCTCCTTTGTCTGGTCGAGCTCAATGATTCCGACCTTGGACGAGTCGAGGCCGAGGCTCGAGATGACGCTCTTTGCGCGCGAGCAGTAGGGGCAGTAGGACTTGCTAAACACGGCGATGAGGTGCTCGGAAATGAGCTTGTCGGCGATCTGCTTTGCTGCCATCTTGCGCGGTGGGGGCAACTCGTCGAAGCGCGGGTGCGTGGAGAGTAGAGAGCCTATCTTGGGCGATTTTGATCCGGTGTGTGGGAGGTGCGCTGGGTGTAGAGCGGGGTTGTACAGGCGAGCAAAGGTGCAACGATGGTGGTGGTGGTGGTGGTGGTGGTGTTGATGCGACCAGGCAGGTAGGGGGTTGGGCAGCTTGTCCCAGGCTGGTCCCGCCCTCACTAGCCTTCTCCACATAGCCGGTCTTGTCAGGTCGCTGTGGGCCGGGCCGACGCGGGCGATCACCTCATCAACCACCCGCCCTGGCCTCCACCTTGATTGCTCGCCGGTTTGACTGCCAGCTTGGCTCAGCCTCGTCAGCCGCCCGCACTACTCAAACTCAGCCTGCCGACCGACCTGCCTTGTTTGTCCCCGGCTCAAAATGGCCTCGGTGCGGACCGTCTGGCCTGGCCGGCTTACAGAGCGAGCCACGCCCTCAGCCCATCCGTCGGTTCCGCGCTTCTGCCTCCGTCACCGCACCAGCACTTAACCCTTTGCCAGACTACGACTCGCCTCTCTGGCGAGCCCGAGCGAGCGAGGGTCGAGGTATGAGGATGTAATGCGAGTTCTCAGATCGATACACGCGGCTATGAGTACAAGGTAAGTGTGGGGAAGACGAGGTCGGCGAGACGACAGCCCAAGGTTCATCAAAGGGCGCCCACTCGCTCCGTCCCGTCCAGAGAGCAATACTACTGTAGGTGGCGGGGGAAATAAGAGAAAGGCGACAGCCGGCGTGGAGCATCCGACGTGCACATAGACGCACGCCGTGCGCCCAGTGTCAAGAGGGGAGACAGGGTTAGGCACAATTGGTGTGCTTGCGGCATTCGAGCAAGGCTGCGACGACGACGCCGGCCTCACGAGACGGTGCAGCCGTTGCTGAACCACCACGACTGGCGCAGCTGCTCGATCCAGTCGACCACCATGCAGAGCCGCAGACGGCGGCTGGTAATGGGCAGCAACTTGGCCTTTTCGTGCTCGTCGATGGGCATCACCAGCGCCATCCAGTAGCCAAGCCGCTCCACCTCGTGCGCCTCGGGCATCGGCCCGTACGCGTTGTGCAGCCGCGTCAGCAGCCACGGCGCCGACCCGGATCGCAGCGTTGCGATAAACGACCGGCAGATTTCCACCAGCTCCGCCGTCGTCGGCTCCTGAGGGATCGGCAGGAAGGGCGGCATCCCGCCATCCGAAGAGTCGTCGGTGAAGCCGTACTCGGACCCTTCGCGACGTCCGCCGGCGGAAGAGGGCGCGCGATGCATCGCCGCCGTCTCGGTCGTCGCCTGCACCGCCTCGCTGCCCTCACGCCGGAAGAGCGACATCGAGGCATCCTCGCCATCTCCGGCGCCGTCCCGGCCTTGCGACGACGGCGGCCGCTGCGAACCGGCAGCAGGACTCTGCGCCAGCGGCTGCTCCTCGACCGAGGCGCCGGCCGAGGGAGCCGTGGCCTGTGCCTCCGTGGCCCCTCGCGAGGGAGGCCTGGACGTCCGGTTGGCATCCGCGCAATGCTCGAGTGCGCGTCGACGCACCATGGCCTGGCGTTCCAGCTCGGCCTCTTCCTCGAGCGGAATGTCTTCGACGCGCTCGATCCGCCCGACAGTGTAGCCGTCGAGCGTGCCCTTCTCGAGCACCTTGAACCGGTACGACCCCACCGTCTCGAGCATGCTGCGGCCGTCGGTGAGCATCTGCACCGACTTGATCTCAAGCATGGTGCCGTACTCGCCCAATCCGCCGTTATCGCGCGAAGGCAGCACCATACCGAAACGGGGGTTGCCGCTCTCGAGGCACCGCCGGATCATCAACCGATACCGCGGCTCGAAAATGTGCAGGATCGTCGGCATCTGCGGGAACGCCAGCGTGCAGATAAAGAGCGGCGTCGAGAGCCGCGCCTCACGCTCCTCTTGCTCGATGGCCGACTTGCGGTTTTCGTAGAGCTGCTTGAAGCCGAGGTGGTGCGGGTTGTTCTCGCCCTCGGACAGCGGCGACGATGGCGCCCGCAGCGGGGCCGTCGTCGCAGGAGCGGCGAGCCCGCCAAACTTGGCCGCCGCCGACGACGACGAGGTCGGCGCGTGCAGCTCGAGGCGCTTGTCGTCCTCGTCAAATGGTGATGTAGCATCCGCGGCCGAATCCTCAGAGTCGGTCAGCGTCGCCGTATCGGCCGTGAGCATCTTGAGCAGCGCAAAGTTGCACGGGTGCTCCGAGAAGAAAGCCACGTTGGGCATATCGGCCCGGCAGAGCGGGCAGCGGTTGCCATGGTCGAGGCTGCGAGCGAAGCACGAGCGGCAGAAGGTGTGGCCGCAGGGCGTGGTGAGCGGCTGGTAGAGGAGCAGGTAGCACAGCTGGCACTCGAGCACCTCGAGCAGCTCGGCGTGCAGCGTGGCCACCGTCTGGACAAGCGGCTCGCCGTTGGGACCGGTCTTGGTCGACAGCGCCAGGCTGCGCTGCTTGTCGGCCAGCTCGCGGCCTTGGCCACGGTGAGATTCGGGACCGGGGCTCGTTGGCCGGCTGTCGGCGCGCGAAGCCGACGCCGTAGCCTGATCGGCGAATTTGCCAGTGATGGCGTCAGTGAGGGCTGATTCCTCGGTGCTCCAGCCCGAGTCGCCCCGCGGACCATCGGCGTCGTCGAAGAGGCGGCGTACGGGTCCGTGGCGCAGCGCATCGAGCTGGCTCTCGGGAGAGCCCCGATGATCGCCCGCACGGAGGCTGGTGCGCGCACGGCGACGCTTGCGGTGCGCGCGAGCAGAAAGGCTGCCGCCCGAGGCCAACGGCCGAGCATAGGCGCCACCAACGCCGTCAGGCCACAACATGCCCGGGTCCTCTTCGCCCTCGTCCTCGAGGCCGGATCGGAAGCGTGCGTGGTAGCCGCCGTCGTCGTCCTCGTCCTCGAACTCGTCTCCGTCTCCATCGTCGTCGTAGGCGGAGTCGTAGTCGGAGAGCTCGTCGTCGTCGTAAGCGCCCCCGTCGTCGCCGTAGAGATCGTCCGCCTCCTCGTCCGCCTCGTCCTCCTCTGACTCTGGCACGGCGCGCACCCCGCCGACGGTGCCGCTCTCTAGCTCCGACTCATTAGTGCCCAAGACGCTCATGGCTGACCGCAGGAGCTGCGTCCGCCGCATGGCGCCACCGCGGCCCTGGTCGTTTGACCTTCGCTGGAAAGCTCTGCCGGCTGGCAAGAGGCCCGTCGTGCCCCTCGATCCGGAGCCGGACGGGCCCGGTATCGTCAGACCCCGGCCCCTGGCCGCTGCGAGCGCCCTGCGCTCGAAGACGACGCCTCGGCCAAGGCCCGATCCGTAGCGTCGACGTCCGGCGCGGCCCGCCCGTGGCCTCAACGGCGAGCGCGGCGGGGATCGCCGCGAGCGACTGGCGCGAGGAACTGGCGCCGCCACGTAGCGTTTGAGGATTGCGATTGCCTTGGAGAGGCTGACGTCGGTCCGCAGCAGGTTTGACGTCGACAGGGACGGCAACAGCGATGCCGAGGTCGAGGCGGCGCTGCTACCAGATGCAGTGGTCTCGACACCGACCGGGGGGACGGCAAAGAGGTGCGACTTGGTGCGGCACTGCGGTCCGACAACGGTGAGGCGGTGAGGGTGGTCGGCCACACCAATGACAAAGCCGTCGAGGGGAGGGGAGCCCGGTCCCACGTCCTCGCTGTCGGTGGGCAGCCTTTCTTGGTAGGCAGGGACCAGGCCGTACCGAGGCCGATGCCCCGACCACTTGCCCATCCCCCTGCCGATGGCGCTGCGAGGACATCCGTTAACCGGGCAAGACACCGTCATCGGCGACAGGGGCAGCCGCGGCGGGATGTGGGTGGCGCAGGGCAGCGTGGGCTCTTCATCGTTGCCTCGCGTCGACGAGAATCCAGGCTGGCACCTGTTGCGGATGCACTGCAGGCAAGCCGTGTGGCCACACGGCAGTGTGATAGGGTCGTTGAGCGGCCCCTCGCACTCTGCGCATCGCGTCAGCCTGAGCAAGGCCGACGCCATGTCGCGAGCGCGCCTGCGGTCAAGCGCGCTGGGCAGCTTTTCCTTGGAGGAAGAAGCACGCCGGTCCCGATGCTGGGCGCCGAAGCCCGCATGCCGTTGATCTGGTTGTGGCGATGGCGATCGAACGGTCGATGGCCGTTTCCCCGCGCTCCTGTCGTCCATGACGTGAGAGGTGGACGCCGAGGGCAGCCCGAAGCTTTGCGCGTCCGCGGTAGGTGGGCGAGCAAGGTGGTCTGACGTGAGGCAAAGAATTTCACGGGGAGTTGACACAAGACGAGGGGTCAGCCGCACCCTGCGAGCTGGAGCTTCATGGAGGTCGTCGGTGCAGTGCTCCAGTGTCAAAGCCCAAAACTCACCTTCTTGCCGTTCGGCAGTCGCCATACCGGGAGATTTCCGTCCGTTTTCCTCGAGTGCGCCGGTCGCGTGCGGGGGCGCAACCGGAGGTGCCATCGACGCGGTGCGGGACGGACCCGCCTCTGCGGAGCCAGACGAACCGGTCATGTTTGTCGAAGACGCGACGCGAATCGCGAGGCAGCCTTGCGGTTGCGAGGTGAACGTGGTAATGGTGTGTAACCAGCAGAGCAGCGCCTTCAGAAGTCGTCGGCTGGAACAAGACGATCAAATAGTCATAGTCCAGCGCCCCTCGTTGACTCTGGTAATGCTGAGGTCCGAAGAGCGCCGAGCTGGCTTGTCGTCGGAGAGGCGATGGCTGGCTGATCGAGAGATTGAAGGCGGGATGACGAGATCGAAGAATGCCCCGACGATGGCAGCAAACGTATGGCGGGGGCGAGGTAGTATGAATGCGCCTAGTTGGCAAAAGTCCCGGCTCGATTTGATTGGTTTCGTACGAAGGGGCTGTTATGTCGGTAAGTGCGAACCGCGACAGAGCGGGTCAATGATCCTCTCTCGAGGGCGTCGAGAAGCTGCGTCTGATGGTGGTGGTGAGCGGACAAGGATAACTCCGTACTCGGCGGTGGCTTAGGTGTGGGTGAGGGCGAGGTCGAAAGACGAAGCTGGGAAGAGCCTATCGGGTGATGGGCAATTGACGCCGAATGCCGTGCGGTCGCCTTGGCTGTTGGGCTAGGCCTGAGGGCGACCTGGTAGCGCAGTCTAAGTGTTCTGCAGGGTCGGTGGAGTTGCGGGGGGATGGTGGAACGGAGGAAACGGCAAGGCGACGGCCCTGGCCTGGTGGTGGCGGAGGGGTCGGCTTGCTGGACGAGGGTGGGCTTACGGCGCGCGTGAGCTAAGGTTGGTGAGCAAAGCAGCGGCGACACGGCGGTGCCAAAGGTGTGTGTGTGTGGAAGATCTTCGGGAACGGGGTGCGAGGGGGGGTTGCAGCTGAGCAAGGGTGGAATCCTCGACGATGGAAGCTGTCGAGGCCGAGCTTCGAGTGGCGGGTCGGGATCAATGGTTGGCTGTGGAGCGAGGCCGGGCCTAGCTCTGGTCGGAAGCAGCGAGGGTCGGAAGAGGGTGAAGGGCTCGACTGCTGCGACGTCGAGAGGGGTTGGCGAAGATGCGAGCTGGAGCGCGCAGGTGGTCGAGGAAGGAGGCAGCAGGGCGGCGGGCAGGCGCTCAGGAAGGGAAGGGTCGCGGTGGGTGTAAGCGTGGCGTCGCCGTTGAGAGAGCGAAGTTTGGTGTATGTGTGCTTAGCTGCGCGGTGCTGCGGAGGCGGCTGAGGCAAGCTGAGGCGAAGGGGGCCCTTGGCTAATCACGCACGATGGCGGCGGCGGTTGGCGGGGGCAATCGCAGGAGCCAAAGGGGCGGCAGACCGACGTCGAGCAGCCCAAGGGAGGTTGCCAGAGGCAAGTCTTGTTTCGAGGCGAGGGATGGCTGGCTGGCTTGGCTGACCGGCTGGCTTGCTTTGGATCTGCCTGCCTGCGCCTCCTTCGGTCCGACGACAGCGGCCAAGATGGGCTGCTGCAGTAAGGCTGGGCAGCGGGCGCAGGCTAGACGGGGTGCGGGCTGCGGTGTAGTTGGGTGTGAGCGAGTAGGCGAAGGTGGAGAGGCCGAGGTACGGTGTGGGTGGGTAGGTATGGAGGCGGGATTGAGTAGCGGCCAAGAGGGCAGGGGCGGTGTCAGGTTAGGTCAGGGCCACATACAGCGGGCGGTCAAGGAGCAGCTGGCGAGCAAGACAAGCAAGAAGGCAGGCAAGCTAAGGTGAGGCAAGACGTACGAGGCAAGGTGAGGCAAGGTGAGGCAAGGTGAGGCAAGGCAGACAAGGCAGGCAAGCAGAGCGACCAGCAAAGGTGGAGAAGGTGCGGCCACGACCTCGACCCGCAGGTCACCATCAGAGCCACCACAGTCGACAGGAGGGCGTGGCGATGTGGTAATCAGGAACGACCAGCCCAGCCCGAGGCCCCAGAGCATAAGCAAGCAAGCAGGCAAGGCGACGAGACGAGTCAAAGGTCGAGTCGAGACGAGACGAGATCCGACCAGATTTGGCCTCAGACCGACAACAACCTTGCCGCCTGCTTGCCACAACAGCCGACTCACGGTGTGCCCCCTTCCTTCCGTCATCTTCCCAAGCATGGCCTCCTACCGTTACGTGCGTGCCTTGCCATCCGACGCCTCCAAACCGGCGTAAGCCCGCTGGGGCGTATCGGTCGCACGGCCATACGGCGGTTGCAAGCCACCGTGGGCCGCCTCGAGGGGCGTGCGTGTGCGACGATGGCGGCGATGGCGAGCAGAAGGCAGGCAGGCGGGCAGCCAGCCAGGCAGCCAGCCGCCATCATCGTCGTCTGCCTGTGGCCCTTGCGATTCTTACCGTATTATCTTTCGACTTCTTTGTTTGCGCTTTGTCTCTCTTCTGCGTGCGTGCGTGCGTGCGTGCTGTTGGCAGCCTAGGGCCCTTGCCACCGCCATCGTCAGATCGAGGCCGAGATTTTGGTTGCGTCGCCTGCAACCAGACACACTACGCGTAGGCCCGCCCCCCAAGCATGTGGGCGGCGCGGGCCTGGCAGGGTGTTTCTCAGACCGCAAACAGCCGCCCTAGCCTAGGTTCTGGCCGAGGGAAAGGCAAGGCAGGCAGTCTAGGTGCTACCGGTAGGCTAGGCTAGGCTAGGGTTGATGGCCGGCGATGCAGAGGGATTTGGCAGAGGCCATCGTGGCCGCTGGTCTGAAGCGGAAGCAGGTCAACTGGGCATAGGAAAGCCGGAGGGCCCAAAGCAGAGGCTGGGGAGACTGGCGCCAGACGAGGAGGCTGACAGCCAGGCAGGTCGCCCCATGCCAGCGCCCAGAGGCTCGCCGATTTGCTAAACATCGACGGTACTCGCTGCCGGCGCCTCGCTCCTGGTGGACCCGCCTGACTGCCTGTCCCCAACCCTCGCCTCACCGTTCCCGCACCATGGCGTGTCGGCATGCCATGGCTATGGTCCTACCACCCTGTACTACGCTGCTCTACGCTGGGTGACGCTCACTCGCTCGCGTTTGCGACGACGACGACGGCGACGGCGGACGAGGCCACACGTACGGCGCGGCGACGCAGGGACCGATTCAGGCAGGAAGCAGGCCCCCGGCGGCGGCATCACCCGGTGGGTGCGCCGGCTGCTTACCCTACGTACGCGGGCTGGCGGCTGGCAGCTGGCAGGGCAAAAGAAGAAGCGGCGTCGGTCGCGGGCCAGGCAGGGGCAGTCGCGCCCACACAGAGACAGCCAGAAGAGACACATCCGCCAGGCCAGCCAGAGGCAGTCAGGCAGTCAGGCAGGCAGGCAGGCAGGCAGGCAGGCAGGCAGGCAGGCAGGCAGGCAGGCAGGCAGGCAGGCAGGCAGGCAGTGAGGCAGGCAGGCAGGGGCCGAGGCGAGAGGGCTGATTTAGAGCTCAGGGTCAACAAGTCAGGCAGCCAGCAGGCGGTAGGCGCGCCCCTCGCCCGGGGCTCACGGCATCAACGCATGGGTCGATCTTCGCGGCCTATCGACCTGGCAGCCTGCTCTGGCCTGCTAACCTGCCTGGGCCCGACCAGCGCGCAGGCGTAATTACCCGATCTTGGTCGCCGCTTGTCGTCCGAGTGAAAGTCAAGAGGCAAAGGCGGGGCAGCCGGCTGCTAACCTCGGAAGTCGGCGACTACAGTCCAGTTGGACCCTGGATCGCTCCCTCGCTCGCTCGCCTTGCCGTCTTCGCACGGACGACTGCTTGTCGACTTTCGTCTGGCCGCTCCCTCCCCCGACCAAGCTCCACCATCCCTCCATCATCTTGGCCGACCATGGCGTCGACGGCACTGGAAGCCGTGCAGGACTGGCTCCTCCGCTTCCCGCACCGGCCCATCAACCACTCACTGCCGCCAAGCCTCATCCTCTACCTCGTCCCACCACTGCCTTCGCGCCAGACGACGGCCATCTGCCTCACCCTCGTCGCCCTCATCGCGATGCGCCTCTACTTCATCCTACCCGGCCCAGTCTCGGACGATTTCCTCCGCCGCGCCGCTTCCAAGTCGCCGTCGGTCGGTGGAACCAAGAAGGAGGGGGATCAGCAGGCTGAGAGAAAGGTCAGAGTGGGTCTCTTTCTCGGATCAGGTGCGTGGTCTCGGTATCCTTGCTCCGTGCAAGCCCGCTCGACGTGTCGACTGACGTCTCACGCGCCACCTGGTCCCCGCTCCTTCGCAGGAGGGCACACGACCGAGCTGCTCCAGCTCCTCCGCGCCTTGCCACCAGGGCGATACGCCGAACGTCTGTACCTCTACTCGTCCGGCGACAACTTCAGCCTGCAAAAGGCACGCGAGTTCGAACGGACTCTCGTCCCACGCTCCTCGGACGACACACCACCGCTGCACACGCTCGAGGTACCGCGGGCCCGCCGCGTCCACCAGAGCTTCCTCTCCACCCCGCTCAGCCTGCTCTACAGCTTGGCCTTCTGCATCGACCACATCGTCAGGCGACCCCTCGTCGACGCCCACATCACCCGACGAGCCCAGTGGAGACAGAGGCGGGCGCGGCAGGGATGGAACGACGACGGGGCGAGGTGTCCCTTTGCCGACCTCGTCCTTATGAACGGACCGGGTACCTGCGTGCCCATCGTCGTGTCCATCTACCTTCTCAAAGTGAGTCTGGCCCCGGGCCGCACCGCGAGGTGACATTGAGCAAAACATGGTCCCCTAACGCCCAACAAACCAACCCCCTGCCGCCGACCGTACCGACGCTTCAGTTCCTGGGCCTACCCTCGCCCAAACTCATCTACATCGAATCCTTCGCCCGCGTCAAATCCCTCTCGCTCACCGCCAAACTCGTCCGGCCACTCGTTGATCGCTTCGTCGTACAGTGGCCCGAGGCAGCCGGCCCCCTCGGCGGAAGAACCGTGTACAACAAGTGGCTCATCTGAACTCCGGGCGGGTGGTATTGCCTGCGCCCTTTCGCGTGCGTCTCTCTGCGCGTACTTGCATCCGTGTGGCGTTCGTGGTGCGCCCAGGTCCCCTGCTGTGGCCTGGCCTGGTTTCGATTTCGATTTCAATTTCGATAGCTTCGAGTGGATGTTGGTAGGACCCCAGCTTGGCGGGACGAGGAGCGCAGGATGTCCGTTCGCATCCCATCGCATCGCAGCACAGCGCGTCGAGGATGCTCCGGATCAGATCAGCCCCAATTCCCGCTCTCTCCTCCTGATCCTCTCCTCCCTCTCCTCCAACGACAGCTCCCTCTCCGGCGCCGCCCTCGCTCCACCCTCTGCCCTCTCCGCCTTCGCCGTTGTCGCCGCCGATGCCGATGCCGAGGCTGTCACGGGGGCTGAGGGAGAGGCTGCCTGCGCCGGTTTGCCCCATTGCCTCATGGGCGTCGAAGCTGGCGCTGGTGCCGGCACCGCATTCCGACCACCGCGTGCGCCCCTTGGGCCCCATCCAGTCTCGACGGGCGCAGAAACGGCGGCGGGCGGGCCCGAAGGCGTTTCGCTTCGACCCCACCGCGCCGGCGCTGTAGCGGCGGCAGGCGGCGATCGGGATCGACGTCGGCTGCTGCCGCGCGCGCCTCGCCTGCTGCTGCCCAAACGGCTCGGTTCCAGCGGCACCATTGCGTCCGTCTCTTCCCGCCTAGAGGGAGGAGCGGGTGTCGAGGGCTGCGCAGCCGCGCCGCCGCGCCTGGCTCGCATCGCATCCCACCCCGTCACACGCTCCGTGTCGGAACGAAGAGGAGTGGCGACGGCAGCGGGCGGCGAGGTAGCCGCCGCGCTCCTCTCGGGCCTTGGCCGAGCCTCTGGACGCCGCTCTTCTTGCTGCGATGTCGGCTGCGGCTGCAATTGCGGCTGGGCGGACTCTCTTCGGCGCGCATGCCTGCCCCAGCGATCGGCCGGCGGGGCTTCAGCTTTGGCCGACGTCGCAGCCGCGTCCCGGGCGAGAGGTGTAGAAGGACCGGGCAGACTCTCACGAGACCGCTCGCGAGCCGCACCGTTCGAGGCAGACGCTCGTGGCGGCGACCTATCGCGCGGCCTTGCTTCGCTGATCCTTCGCTCGCCGTCGCGGGGCGCACGAGGCACGCTGGCCTCGGTCGCGTCTTTCGACGTCGAAAGCCGAGCCAGCAGGGACGTGGACTCTACCGGGGCAATCCTGTCGCTGGATTGTCGTCGCCGAGGCTCGGCAGGCGCGTATGCAGCCCTGGCGGCTTCTTCGGCCGGTCGGTAGCAGTCCGGCGACGGCGGTCGCGGAGGTCTCAGCGGGCGCGCGCCACGTCGGCGGCCGCCACCGGGGCCACCGCGCTCGCCGCCGTATTCCGCAGTTGGCCATGCGGACGGCGGCGGACCGTCCGGAGGCGTCGAAGCACGGGCTCTAGCCTTGTTTCTGGACGCGTAGGCGGCTGCGACTGTGTCGTTGGCATGCGGTCGCTCGACCTCGGCCTGCTCAACAAAGGATCGAGGAAAAGAGGCGAGGTTCAGCGGGACGTGCGCGACGAGGACCGTAGCTGCCGGAGAGGGCCGAGCCTCAGCCCCGTTACGCACCGCGGTACCAGCTGGCCCGGCTTCGGCTGATTCGTCCCTCGTGGAGCGGTCGACGCCCCTGGATCTCCAGCCAGCGTCGCCCTGCGGCTGCAGCGCCCGTTCTTCGCTCGCTCTGCGTCGCCGTTTGCCCGGAGGCGGCCACATGTCTGGCTCTGCGCCGCCAGTGAGCATCGACTTGGGTCCAGTGGGCGTCTTGGCGACATCGCCTGTGCGCGTCTCGAGCCTTGCGGCGCGGTCCTGGGAGGCGTTGGCCGAGGCAGCCGAAGCTGCGCTGCCTCGGATTGTGATGCCTTGCGGCGCACGCTCTCGCTCTTCCCTGCGCGCATCTCTGCGTCGTTCTGGTGCGTTTGAAAGTGCAGACGAGGGCCGGTACCGAGTCGAGGGTGGTGTGAGTATTGTTGCTCCGAGTGGACCGCCTGCGCCAAAGGGTGCTAGCAGACTGCTGGAGCGCGGAGCCGAACGCGCCAGGCTGCGCTTTCGCGAAACGAGCGAGGTTCCGCGCTCCAGCCTGCGCGGATGGCACAATCCAGACCGAAGACAGCGGTTGCCGCCCGACTCGCGATGACTAGCGATCAGCTGATCGCGCCGCCGAGCGGCAGCGATGATGGCGTCGAGCTAAGCGTCGCAACAGCAAGCCGCGAGCTGCGGTATCGCTGGTTCCGAAGGCGATGATACTGCCGCGAGTCGCCTTCAAGCAGTCGCCGTGCTACCTGAGAATGGCAGCGCTTGGCCGAGTAGGGGCGGCAACGCGGGATACCGGCCGGAGGATGCTCACTGTGATGGGGTGGTTGGTTCGACCCTTGGTCCTCGGTGCGCTCGTCCTCCCAGCGCGACGGTGCCCTCAAGCTGTCGTCAGCCACGTCGGCCGCTGCTGAGGGGGCTCGTGTGCTGCTGTCCAGCACCGGCTCTGCCTGCGCTGCTTGTCCAGCTGCGTGCTGCTGGTCGACGGGCGCGGAATGGTGCGCCCCTGCGTGCGGAGGAGCGTCACCATTCTGACCCGTCTGTAGGGCGGCGTTGTTTTCGACGTCCCTCGCCTCATCATGAAGCTCGACGGTGGCTTCGGTCGCAGCGTGCTGAAGTGGTGCTTGGTGACCAGGGTCCTGCGCCGATGAGGCTGCTATTGCTGACGATGCCTCTGAGGGCGCCAGGTCATAGGCAGGCTGGGTGGGCTTGTCCCAGGTGCTCTCTCCGGTGGTGCTGTTGTAGTAGTAGCACTCGCCGCCCGCCGACCTGGACTGGATAGCCTTCCAGCCAGGGGGCAGGGTCGGATCGTCGGCCTCGGTGATGCTGCCGGTGTCGTTGGTGGCAGCAGCTGTTGCGGCATCGTGTGCGCCGTTGTCGTGCGCATTGGCGATCTGTGCCGCATCGTCTGCAGTAGCCGGCTTTTGCGGCTGCTCTTGCTGCTGGACGAGCTGGACGTCGTCGTCGCCGTAGTCGATGGCCTCGTCGTCGGCGAACATGTCGGATCGCAGGGCGCGGGGCGCAAAGATGGACTCGTTGGACCCACAGCTCGATGATCGAGTGTGCGACCACGGTTGATGTCTGGTTGGGCCAGAGTCGTAGAGGGTGGCGAGCTTGATCGAGGCGAGGCGACGATGAGACGAGTGACAGGCAGGGAAGGAAGGCGAGCGGCAGAGAGGCCAAAGGTGGGGTTGTGGAGTTTCCGTCCCGGCTCGCGACCGACCAAAAGAAGAGAGGGCGACCACGCGAAGAAAACCTGGCCGGCGCTGCCGCTGCTTGCCGCCGCCGCCGCTGCCTGCTGGAGCGCACTGACGCCCCTCCGTGACTTCTGCTTCCGACTGCCGAGATGGGACCCGGGCGATCCGACCAACCAACACCTTGGCTTCTTCCCCGACCCTCGTCTGCTCCCTGGCCCTAGACTCGGTCACCATCTCCGCCATCGCCATCGCCATCGCCATCGCCATCGCCATCGCCATCGCCATCGCCATCGCCATCGCCATCGCCATCGCCATCGCCATCGCCATCGCCATCGTCACTGCCATTGCCATCGCCATCAGCACCAGATTGACCCTTTGGCCCTCACCTCGAACATCCGTCAATCTTCACTCCAGGGTGCGGTTGATGGCGTCCGCTCTCCTGCTCCTTGGCTCCTCAACTTCTCCCCGGACAGAATAGAGCAGACTACTGGCCGCGGCTGTCGCTGCAAGACCACGAGGGCAAGCGCCAGGACCCAGGGTGACAGCCTCGACGGGGCTGCCGACACGCTAGACCAGACCTGGTCCGGCCCATCCGACCTTTGTCTGGCTCGCCGAGCACGAAGCCAACCGAGCGCGGCCCATCCGACGCCTGACCATGACGAGCGCGTTTCACTCGCAGCAGCTTCCGCCCAGCGGCATCTCCCACGCCGTTTGCCTCGCGCTATCCTCGCCGCTACCGGCTCGGTCCGGTGCCGCTGCCGCTGCCGCCGCTGCCATCAAGCCATGGCTGGCCCACCGCGGCCAGCCGCTCTGCCAGCTCGTGACCGCCAGAGATGACCTGCTGCGGATCTACGACGTGCGCCAGCAGACCCCGTCGGCGTCGTCCGATGCTGCCCTCCAAGACGCAGACGGTGCCCGCCTCTTTCTCGTCCGCGAGCACCGCATCTTTGGCAGCATCACCGGGCTGCAGTCGGTCTCGACGCCCGAGACCGAGGCCGACGGTCGCCAGAGGCTGCTCGTCTCGTTCAAGGACGCAAAGCTGGCCCTGCTCGAGTGGTCGGACCGCACCAGCGATCTGGAAACTGTCTCGATCCACACCTACGAGAGGGCACCACAGCTCTCGCAGGGATTACCCTCGACCTTCAACCAGACCCTCGCCGTCGACCCGGCGTCGCGCTGTGCAGCCCTGCTGCTGCCCCAGGACGCCATCGCGGTGCTCCCCTTTTACCAGGACATGTCCGACCTCGACTTCTACGACATCGATCAGGGCACCGACGGCGTCGACGTCGACCCCATCGAGACCCTCCCCTACTCGCCCTCGTTTGTCCTCGCCTTCCAAGAGGTCGACGCAAAGATCAGAGACGTAAAGGACTTCTGCTTCCTGCCCGGATTTCAGAAGCCCACCGTCGCGATCCTCTTTGAGCAGCCGCGGACGTGGACTGGGTAAGTGCGCTCTCGATCAGCCATGTCGAGGCAGCAGTCATCGCGCGAACAATGGACCTGGCTGACACCCCTTACCTGTCCCGCCCTGCCTGCCACCGGTCGACGCTGACAGCCGACTCAAGCTGACCAAGGACACCCACACCGTCTACATCTTCACGCTGGATCTCACCGCGTCGATGGCCGGACAGGTGGCTGGCGTCGGTGGAGGAGTCGACGGCGATGCAGGTCTGCAAACTGTCCACCCCATCCTGACCACAAGCACCGACCTCCCCTACGATTGCCTCTACCTCGTCTCTTGCCCCGCAAAGCTAGGCGGCGTCATGGTGGTCGGCACCTCGTCCATCCTCCACGTCGACCAGAGCGGCAGGGCGGTGGCGACGGCCATCAACGACTGGGCGCCGCTCATGTCGGGCGCGACGGCGGCCGAGTCGACGTGCGAGGTCGAGGGCGTGATCGACCTGCATGGATCCCAGCTCGTCTTTGTCGACGCGACCGAGGGCATCCTCACTCTCCGAGACGGCACGTTCTGCAAGTTTTCCTGCCTCATGGACGGTAGGAGCGTCGGAGGCATCAGGCTCGAGAGGATCACTGCTCCATCGACGACCGAGGGAGGAGACGACGAGGTCAACGTGCAGGCAGCGGCGCCGAGCGTGTCCCTCGTGCTGCCCACAGAACAGCCTTTCCTGTTCAACGCGTCGATGGTCGGGGAATCCACCCTCTTCCGCTGTGCCAAAGCCAACAAGCGCATCGACAGGGGCGAAGCCGAGGCTGGTGTCAAGGACGAGGAGCACGACAAGGCCGCAGACGAGATGGACCTCGATCTGGACGATGGTAAGCTGCCTGCTTCGAGAGCCGGACGGAACCGGCTGACGCGGTGTGAACTGCGAGCTGACCACCTCCCCGACCCGCTCGCCAACCTCTCATCAACGACGTCGGCCCCTAGACCTCTACGGCGACTCTGGCAAGCTCGACGCCAAGGCCGAGGTGTCTTCCTCGAGCGCCGCCTTCAAGCAGGTGTTGCGGCTGACGCCTATCGACAGCCTCGCCGCCCACGGCCCCATCCTGCATCTGTCAACCAGGCAGGCGGCTTTCGACGATGGCGAGAGCTCTGGTAGCCGCAAGCAGATTGTTGCGTGCACCGGCTTCGGCACTGGAGCTGGGTTGACCTACTTTGAGTCGACCTTGGCGCCGCGGAAGAAGCGGCGCTTGGACACGAGGCCATCGGAGAGCATCTGGAGCGTCGGGATGCTGCAGGATGCCGCTGTGTCTGCTCAAGACCGACGAGCAAGCCTTCTCTGCAGCGCCGAAGACGAGGACGTTTCCGAGCTCGTCCAGCTCGATCGCGACGGCAGCAGCGTCGATCTCCGAGAACTTCCCGGGCGCACGCTCGCCGCCGGTCCGCTCCGCGGTGCCGGCGCACGCTGGGCGAGGATCACAGCGTCCGGGCTGCATGTCCTCGAAGCAGGTGAGTCGGCGGCTGAAGAAGCCGCGACCGCAACGGGACAGATGCTGATTCCGACTCGTCCGGGAATGCGGCCTTATCAGATGGCTCTGATGTGCAGACGGTGGCAATCGACGAGGCAGATGTCGTCACCGGAAGCATCGACGAGGACGAGTACGCCTCTGTGCAACTGTCGGATGGCTCCTTCCGCCTGTTCGCGTATGATGACGACGCCCGTCAGTTTAGTCCACTGGCGTTGCCTGCTGAACTCGAGGTGAGCACGAGACTGATATTGAGCACAGCTGGATGCTGCCACGCGGATATCTTTGCTGACGAATGGCTCGACTCGACTCCTGCTGCAGGGAAAGCATGGCGCCTGCATCAACGTCTTCCGCGACAGATACGGGTGCTTGACGCCGATGACCGAGATTGGGAGTGCTGTTCCGAACGGGATCTCGACCAAGGGATCCGCGAAAGACTCCGCCCCTGCCGCGACCAGCGCCAAGAAGCCAAAGTCGCAGCCGCAGGATGACGCCGACGAGATAGACTACGGCGACGACGACGACGACGACATGGGCGAGGCGCACGCAGTGCAGTCTTCGAAGCCGGACGGTGAGGCTCGTACCTCCGGACCTGCGGCGAACCCCACGACAGACACGTCCTCCGCTACGCCCGCAAACGCGTATCTGTTCGTGCTCGATACCGAAGCCGTCTGCGAGATCTACTCTTTGCCAGATCTGAGGCTGCGGTGGAGGTCTTTCGGACTGCCGGCGCTCGCCGATCGGCTCGACTTGGACGTCGAGCGGCCCTATCGCCTGACACCGGAGCAGGCGGTGCCGGTCCTTGAAGCCCGGCTCTGCCATCTTGATGATGTGGCGCACATCGTCGTCGTCACCGGCAACAACCTCCTGCTGGCCTACGAGGCGAACCGCTACCACGACCGCGGACAGAGCTCGACGGCCAAAGTCGGCGATGAATCGGATCTGCTCTCCCTTGGCTTCAACAAGGTCTTCTCCCGTGTCCTCTCGGCCTCGTCGCGGCCGACTCGCGACAGGTCGGCCTACGCCAATGGCACCGGCCGCGGCAACCAGGACGGCCCCGCCTTGAAGCCTTTCGGCTGGCGGAGCGGCCAGCAGGATGCAGTGGCGGTGCTCGGCGGCGGCAACACATCTTCGACCAGCTGGCTCTGCAGCTCTCGCAAGGACGGCCTCCAGCTGGTCGACTGCGACGCCAGCTCCGCTCCGGACGACCTGTGCTGGCTCGGTCTGGACGGCGGCAACGACCACGCCGCTTGCGTCGACGGATCAGTGAGTATGCCGCCGAAGCTCGCCGTTACCATCTGATGTCAGCGAACCACTGACCTCGAGTGTTGCGCCATTTCTCAGGTTTACATCTCCGAGTTCGATCGTGGCCGGAGCCTTGGAGGAGATTGGACCTACCAGACCTTCGAGACAGGGAGATCTTACACGAAGGTCGTCTCGCACGACGCCACGCGCTGCATCGTGGCTGCGTCCGTCAACGAGCAGCAGTTTGTCCTGTATGACGAGGACAACGAGCCGGTCACGAACCCCGCAGGTGAGTGGCTTCGACCTCTCCGCGCGGCGCTCCTGGTCGCTGTCCGGCTGACTCTGAGGTGTTTTCCTCCGCATGTCGACGCACCGCCCTGCGCCAGACGACAAGACGCCCACATACTCGCAGCACGGCGCTTTGGAGCTCTTCACGGACGAGGACAAGAACGAGCCGGTCCATGGGTGAGTGCCGCAGCAGGCGCCGGCGCAATGGCTGGAAGACCGATGCTGACCTTTATCGGGTTTGCACGTGCTCATAGGTGGGAGTTTGAGGCCAACGAGACGGTCGTCTGTCTCGAACTCGTCACACTCGATTCGCCGAGCGTGCCGGGCGGGCGCAAGAAGTTTATCGCGGCCGGCACGACCGTCTACCAAGGGGAAGACCGTGCGGCGAAGGGATCGGTGAGTGCCCTCCTGTCTTCCAGATCGGCCCAGCGCGTGGAGCAGGGCTGATAACGGCTCCATCGCCCCAAACCACGTCGCCCTGTCGGGCAGACCTATTTGTTCGACATCATCGAGGTGGTGCCGGATGCAGCCGATCCCACCAGCCGCTTCCGGCTCAAGCTGCTGTGCAAGGACGACTCCAAGGCGCCCGTCACGGCCATTGCCGACATCAACGGCTTCATCATCTCGACCTCGGGGCAGAAGGTGAGGACTTGCGCCGCCGACCGCGCTGCGTAGAGCACTCGCTTCATCGACCACGCAGCAGCGGATACTGACGAGGCGGTCTTTCCCATTCTTGCGCCCCTGCCACTGCAGCTCTACGTCCGCGCACTGGAAAAGGAAGAGTGGCTCATCTCGATCGCCTTCATGGACCTGGCCTTCTACGTGACGTCAATCCGGGTGCTCAAAAACTTCATTCTGCTCAGCGACATGAAGAAGAGCCTGTGGTTCGTCGGTTTCCAGGAGGATCCGTACAAGTTTGTCGTCCTGGGCAAGGATCACGTCGAGCAGTACGCGACAACGGGCAACTTTGTCGTCAACCGGGACCGGCTCTCGCTCGTCTCGACGAGCGCGGCGGGGGGCGGTGCGCTGGGCGGCAAAGAGGGCGTGTACCGGATGTTTGAGTACGCGCCCATGGTGGCGAGCAGCATGGGCGGGCAGAGGCTGCTGCTCAAGACCGAGTTCCAGTCGGCTGCGTCCGAGGCCGTGGCCAGCTACACGGTCAAGGGACGGTGGCTGTCGAGGCACGAGCGGCGCGGCGCCGAGTCGGTGCGCTCAAAGGTCATCTATGGTGAGTGGCCCTGGCCGCGTTGTGCTCAGTTTGGACCTTGGAGACCGGCTCGGCTGACGCACTGTCGAATTCCATGTTCCGCCTTGCTCTGCAGCGATGAACAACGGCTCCATCGAGACGCTGTGTGCCGTCGACGAGGCGGTTGTTAAGCGCCTGCAGCTGCTGCAGGGCCAGCTGGTGCGAACGGTGCGGCACTTTGCCGCGCTCAACCCGAGGGGATTCCGGTGAGTCGACTGGGCAAGTCGATGGCAGTCCTCGCATCCGAGCACACAACTGATCGCATCGCCTCGCCTTCTGGCTTCCCTCTACCCACCACAGAGCCGTGCGAAACGACTCTGTGTCGCGACCGCTGGTCAAAGGGATCCTCGACGGCCGGCTGGTCTCGGTATTCGCGTCGCTGCCGCGTCCCAAGATGCTCGAGGCGGTCGGTACGCTGTCTGGCCTGTTCAATGGGCTGGACGAGCCGCACGACGCCGATGCAGAGGCTGGAGACGAGGGAATGGGCGACGCAGATGACGAAGAGGTCGAGCGCAGGCGGCAGGAGAGGGACGAGCAGCGAAGACGGAAGCGCGAGGCAAAGAGGGCGGACCTCATCCTGCTCGACCTTGTCAAGCTGCGCGCTGGCTTCGAGAGCATGTAGGGCGCCGCTGGCTGCAGCTCGCCGCCATAGTATCCCGGTTGTCCTCGAGGAATTGCAAAGATGCTTTTGAGAGCTGAGGGGGCGGGTGCAGTGCAGAGAGCGAAGGTGGCGCTTGCGTGTGCGAGACGACGTCTGGCAGGCCCTGGCCGAGGCAAAAAGTCAGTAGGCGCGCAGCCCCGTCGAGATTCGCGCTCCGCCACGCTGAGCGCGGGCGGAGCGGAGCCTGGACAAACGTTGAGCGAGGTTCCATTCGACGACCACGAGCTTTGCCACCGCCGTCGAGCGGTATCCTTGAGTATGGATGGCTGGCCCTTCACTACAGACGTTGGGGGGAGGATCGAAGACATCGTCCTTCCAGCACCTCCTTGACTCCTTCCCACCACTCGCCGCCGCCTTATTTGTCGCGCACCTTGGCCAGCCCCATCTCCGTTGTCGCGCACACGCACACCCTCTTGCCGCCCCTCGCGCCGCCACGCTGTCTGCTGCAGCTCTCGAGAAGCGACAGGAGAATGCCCGGACCCCTAGCCATTCGACACTACACTCGGCTCTCGACAGACTTCGATACGGGCGATCAAGACGGACGCGGCGGACCGTCTATCCCACAGCGCAAGCAGAGTTTCAGCGGGGCGAGGACGCGCCCGAGAGCCGATACGGCAGGCGCGACAATTGTCGAAGGCAACGAAGCGGGTGCCGGTGCCGATATCGGCGCGACGTCCAAGGCGCTCATCCTCCTCGTGGGACACGTCGGCGGTGTATTCTGCCTGATCGCCATCCTGGTCCTCCTCGTCGTCCCACGCCTACGCTGGATCGATGCGAGCTGGACCGTCTACTTCCGCGGCGCCCTGACCACCCTCACGGGTCTGACGGGGAGCGTCAGTTGCCACAAGGTCACTGCTACCGTCGCCGTCTCCTCGCTCCCCACCCTCCCGCCTGTCGCCACATCCTCGCATCCCCCCAACGTCGGTGTCTCGCGCTACGATGCCGCGAGGAGCAAGTACGAGGGCACGACGAGACGACCAACGACGATGACGACGGCGCCGGCGGTGTCGGACCTCAAGATCCAGTCCGCCCTGTCTTCGCACAGCTTTACCGCGTTCCCCTCTCCCTCCTCGGCAGCAGGGGAGGGAGGGGGAGGTCGAGACCTGGCCTACTACCTGCTGGGCTACACGGAGATCATCTGCAGCGCCGCGGCCGTCTTCCTCGCCACCCTCACCTTTACCGATCCCACGACGCCTCAAGACTGGGATGCGCGCGGGGCGAGGGTCGAGTGGAAGGACGCGTACGGCTTCGGCCTGCTCGCCATCTGCACCGCGTGGATCCTCGCCCTCGCGCTGCACGCCTACGTCGTCGTGCGCTTCAGACACACCCTCGCCTTTCTTCACGACCAGACTCGTCAGGCGACCAGAGCCAGCGTTGACATGCTCACCTCGATGGCCGGCCCATCAACGCCTTGGTAGGCAGGGAGGCAGGTTCCAGCACAGCAATCCGTAGCCATCTGAATCCTCTCAGGACCGGGAATTGTCAGTGTGACTCACTGAGCCTTCGGGCCAGCACGTCGATCGCAGTCAGCTGCCTCCGCCAGCGAGCGGTGGGACGAGAGGGACATCGCGAACAGACGCCGAGGAGATACACGGGCAGCACGAGCTGATTGGCCCATCGTGCTTTGTCAAGGCATGGCGACCTCGCGAGGCTGCAAGATTGCATTTTTGGGTGTGTGCGTGCGTAGGTGCTTAGGTGCGTTCAGGATTTACTACAAGCGAGCGGGAGCGGCTTAGGAGCGGGCAGCGGCACCGGCGCCCTGGACCTGGGCGACGGCCGGGTTGACCTTCTTGCCGTCCTTGTTGTAGCGGACGCGCGGCGGCGGGGCACGGTTCCTGCGGCCCTCACGCGATCGGACACGGACGACGTGGGCGTGGATGGCGCACGAGACGCAGTATGCGATCTTGATGTAGAGCTTGGGGAGGACGTACTCTGCAGAGGGTCGAGGAGAAGGCCAGGCAAGGGAGAGCAACGTCCAGGGAGTGGTCAGATCGCAACTCCTCCTCTGCGCTGGCATCGATGGAACTCGACAACCGGCAGCAACTCACCCTGGTAGACCGAGGCCTCGGACAGGTCACGGACAGCGGCGGCCTCAACAATGTTGCGGACGGTGAATCGCTTGATGGCCTTGTCCTTGGGGACGGCACGCGAGCAGTTGGAGCAGCGCACAAAGGCGACGTGGCCACGTCCGTGCTTGTTGCGGCTGTGGTCAGGGAAGTCAGGTGTAGAGTGCGGTGCGGAAGCGTAGGAGCGTCAGAGATGAGCGGGCAGGGGATGGATATGTTGTGATCGCAGCGGACAGCAGCAGCAGCAGCAATCAGCCAGTCGCTAGTCGACGCGGTCGAAGGCGTCGTAGATCGCGAACGAGTCCGCCCGTTATCGACAGATCGGCAATTCAGCAGCGTCTTCGTGAAGTCGAGAAGGCCAGATCCGAGCATGTCGTCGTAGACATGCGGCCAACGAATGGCTAGCTGCGGAGCCGGATTTAACTTCGAGCAGGTCGGACAAGGCGGGATGACAGGTGAAGAGGAGCCGGCCCAAAGTCGAGGGTATCGATGTCGAGGTTGATCGAGAGAGCGAACGCTGATCGGAGCAGGGCGACCATCGACGTAGCAGTTCGTTGGTGCTGTCTTGCGTAGCAGAGGTCACTCGCCACTCGCTGAAGGCGGCTGACTGGCTGGCTGGCTGGCTGACTGCTGTTCCTGTTCCGCAGCGAGAGATGGAACACTTACCCGCCGTTTCTCCTCTTCTTGGTCATCTTGTATAGCTGTAGATGGACAAGATGAAGAGTCGGAGCAGATACGAGGTCAGATCGGATCTGGTCTGATGTCGAGGCGGAGTGGGGTTCGCCCGTCGCCTCAGCGGGCCTGCCCTCAGCGACGATCCGGACGACAGATCAGCGACCTCCATTGGCGCCAGACAGAGGATCCGTTATCTCATGACCGTGTCTTCTCCGCCTTTCGGTCACCGAAGACGCGAATGACATTTGGAGCCCTGTCGTGGCACCGCAAGAAAGGTCGTCGATGCTCTGGCAGCTGCTGGAGCGTGTGTCGTCAAGAATATTGCCGCGGGCATGGCTCCGCTGTGTCGGGTCGGCGTGGCGAAGGCAGGGTAGGGCGTAGGGGTTGGGGTGGGGCGGCGATGCTTACTTCTTGATGGGGGTGGAAAGAGTTGATGGATCGGAAGGAGGAGAGGTGGTGTAGGCGCTCGAGCCTTGACCGGTCTGCCTGGCGCACCACCGCCGGACGCTGGCAAGCGCGGGTCCTGCGGCCGTGTTGCCTGCCGGCCCCGCCAGCGTCGAGGGCTCTCGCAGCGGTTGGGTGGGCCTGCCCTGCCAGCCCTGCCAGCCCCGTGCCAGCCTGTGCCCGTCACTCTGTCGATCACGCTCTGGTGAGAAAATTCCCACGCCGGCCGCTCGCTCGCTCGCCTGGCTGCCTTGCCGCAGGGCAGACCGCGGCCTTGCCATTTTCGACATTTTCGGGTCCGGGCCATGCCTCCACCCGCGCGAGTCGAGCTTATCGACAAAGGTATCGGGCAGCTGCGACCGATCCACAGACGTCAGGTCGTCATCGGCGGGCCACCGGATCGGCTGCCTGAGCAACATGCTTGGTTTGCCTCGTCGTGCTGTTGCAGAGCATTCCCCAGCCCGGCCGCCGGGACGGACACCTCGCCCTCTATCGCAGCCAGGCTCTTGTTAGTCAGGCATGTACCCGGGGACAGGCATGCCTCGTTGTCCTTGATCCCGATGATGAGACGCTCGACCGCATTGCCTGGTTGGGTGCGGCTGCGGCTGCTGCGATAAGAGGGCGGAAGTCGGCGATGGGTCAGTCGGCCAGGTTGCGCGGCACGTGATGGGCTCGCGGGCTGCGCGTTGCCTTTTTTGGGCTGGGCTGGCTGCGCTAGCTGGGTCGGGCCTGGCCTCTGATGTGCGGATGCGGTGCCACAGGAGAGGGGCCGGTGACGCCTTTTGGCAGAGACCAACAGGCGAGGCGGGGCGGGGCGGACAGCAAATAGGGTTCACCCACACAAGAGAGGCGGTGGTGGCACGCGGGCCATCTCGGTGCCTCGGTCCTTGTCCGCCTCACCTCTCTCACCTGTGGACCATCGTTGCCCCACGTATGCGCAGCATCCTCGTCGCCTCATCGCGCAACATGAAGTCTTCCAACTAGCTGGCCACGCTCCACTTCTGACCACCATCCAGAACCACCGCCACGACCACCATCGCCGTCACCACCAAATCACCGACAACAGCAGCAGCACCCGACAAACCACCACCACCACCAGCACCACCACCATCGCCAACGCCAAGCGATCTCGCCGCAATCACACCACCGCCACCACCATCGCCAACGCCAACCGATCTCGCCGCAATCACACCACCGCCACCACCATCATAGCACCGGCCGTGCTTCGCGCAGCCGTCCCTCCACCGTGGAGCCAGCGGCTGCCCTCCGTCTCGGCACCCCAAAGATGGCTCACGCGGCGCAGCGATCCGCAAAGGCTCTTGCGGGCCTCGAGCGCTTGCGCAACGACGAAAACGCCACTCCGGCCCACGACGCTTCCGCCTACATCAGCGCATCCATGCTCCAGTCGGGCGGACTCTCGCCGCTGCCCACCTCGGCCCAGCTCTACGACATCCACCTCCCAGACATATCAGCCTTATCCCCCCTGCCCTCGCATCCCACGGGCAGCCGGGCGCCAACGCGGCAGGCGCTCCATCCGCTTGCGGCCAGCAACCAGCGACGCGACGCTGCGTCCTCCTTGCACGCAGCGTCTGCGGCCAAGCACAACACGCGTGGAACACAAGTCAGCGTCGTGGTGCCGCACGATCCAGGTCGCGTTTCGCGATCCCGCTCCCGCTCCATTTCCGCGCGTCCTTCTCCCTCCGCATCCGCACCCAACGCCGCCATCGAGGCAGAGGGCGGCCTCATGACGCCTCCGGCATCCGGCATGTCGGCGCTCTCCTCGTCCCAGCTCGACCAGTCGGAACACCGGCCGCCCCACCCGACCTCACCCACCCCTCTCAAGCCGAGATCACGCACGCAGTCTCCGCACAAACGCATGGTCCAGCCCCCTTCGTCCCACAGCCTCACTCCAGGGACCCTCACCTCGACTCCTGCACGACCGAGGAGAGCCGCCAGCCCGCACAACAAGAGGACCAGAGACCTGGTCGAGACGCCCGTCATGGCCCGCATGCGCGACCACAGCACCTCTCTCCAAGCCGAATCCATCTTTAAGAACTCGCCCAACCCGCGGGCCCGCAAGAACACGAGGACTTCGCAGCTCGTACCCGGTGTCGCCAGCGGCAGCATCAACGCTCAGTCTGACTCGGAACTCGACTCGGACGAGCCCCTGGCCAATGCTTCCCGGCTCGATCCTGTTCAGGCCTCTGCCTTGATCGCTGGTGCCACAAGGCTACCGCCGTCTTCGGGTCGCGCAGCCAACGCCAAATCCAAGGGAAAGGGTAAGGGTCGGATCGTGTCCGGCGCCGCCTACCGTGACGACCCATCGACTGCGCTAGAGGAGGACGACGAGGACGGCGACTCCGACGTCGAGATCGTCAGGGTCACCAGGCGCAACGGCCCCGAGGCTTCTTTCCTCCGTGAAGCGCGCGAAAAGGGCTGGGACCGCATCGCGAATAGTCCGGTCAGGACCATTTACATCCAGCAGCCTGAGCCGCCGCAGCGGCAGAGGCAGGGCTCTGCGCGCGCAAAGAGCAAGACGCCGAAGCCCGAATCGCAAGAGAGCCTTTCGACTCCCGCCGGCAGAGCGAGGAGCCGATCCTCATCGAGACCCTTGGCCAACGTAGCACCTCCCGCCGCCGCTGATAACAGCGCGGCCGATTTGTCGAGCCAGAGCATCAAGTCATCGTCTTCCCAGTCGTCCACGAGCACCATTTCGCGGAAGAAACAGCCTGGGCCCGCTCGAAGGCGGGCGTCTTCGTCAGCGTCCACGTCCAACCTCCGTATCAAGACCAAGACTGGCAGATCACGGAGGATCTCGGCCCCGCCCTCCAACGTCGGCGAGTACATCAGCGAACATCCGGCCATGCCCGACAGCCCTAGCGAGGACCCGCTCCTCCTCGTCGGTCCCGAGCCGGACTTCTCTGCACGCTATAACGCGTCGGTCTCCTACGGACGCAGCGGCTTCGCCTCTCCGAGCGTGACGGCGAGCGGCATCCGGGCCTCGCAGAAGCACGGTCAGCTGCACGACTCGACCTTCGCCATCCCAGAGGGCCTGGAGGAGGGCGGCGATTCCGGCGAGGATGACGACGAGGACGATGGCTACAACGACTACGAGCCTTTGGTCTTTGAAGACGCCAGCCGCATCTCGCAGACCAACGCGTCCCGCCCGAAAACGACCTCTTCCGCTCAGATGCTGACGTCGACGCCTTTGCCCGGAGCAAGGATGGCCTCGAAGCTGCCCGCCGAGATCCCTCTTCCGAGCTCTGTGGCTGCTACACCGTCAGCGGGCAACCAAATCGAGATCGACGGCGTCACAGATACGCCACAACAGAGTAGCCACCCGGCGACGACCTCGTTCGACGCAGGCGACCCTCGCCTCGATGATGCACCAGAGACGTCCTTTGACGTGAGCCTGGAGCGCGAAGCGGACGGATCGTCTGCAGAGACCTCGCATGAGTTGCCAACATCGGCTCATGATCCTGGCCACGAAGACGTCATATTTGGCCAGTTCCACGACGATGGTCCGCTCAGCTCTGACGAGTCCAGCGCCGGGGGATACCTGGACGTCGACCGCGCCGCTGCGGATGAGAGCTTAGCTGCAGCGCCAGAGGTCGCAGATGACGTCGCCATCGAACAAGGCGATGACTCCGACGCTAGCGGCAGCCTCTCTGGCGCCGAGGGAGCGCGTGCCGGTGAAGGTGAAGGAGATGCCAGCACGCCCCGGACGATGGCGGACTACAGCCGTGACGAGACGAACAACGCCGTCTACGGTGCCGGCGAACGCGATAGGGACAGCGACATGGAGTTCGTTGGGCAAGCCTACAATCGAGACCAGGATGCTCGCATCCAAAGCGGAGGCAATGAAGAAGAGGAGAGGGAGGACGGCGGCAGCGACAATGACGACGACGACAACAACAACAACGACGATGACGGGCGGGAGCAGGATTCGCGGAGTGCAGGGGCCCTTGGTCAGGACAGCGATGAAAGCGGGCGCAGCGGCACGACCGGCAATCAGTCTTCAGAGGCCGACAGCTCAAGGATCGACGAGGACGTCGACAGCAGCGACGAGATGGCGGCTCGGCTCGACTCGGCGGATGCCGAGGAAGTCGAGATCCTGGCCGGCAGCAGCACGCGCGACCGCACTCCGGAGCTACCCATCGACGATCACGAAAGCCAAAGCTCGTCCGATGGCTTCGAGATTCTCGACATCGTCACGGCGGACGGGTCCAGCATTCTTCACGGCAAGCAGCGGGCCGTCTCACAGGGCAAGGACGAGGACCGATCTCTGCCGATCCACACGCTCCAGCTTATTCACCAGGACGACGTCCGAGCAGCGGCCGATGCGTCCCGATCGATGCGGGCTCGTTCGTTTGGCGCAAACGCCTCGATGAGCGTCGACGCCTCTTCAGCCTCGGCGTACAGCCGCTTCCTGCGACTTTCGCAGCAGACGACCACGCCCATCGTCGAGATCTCCAGCCTGGACCCGCATGCCGCCGCTCGAGCCACGGCCATCCTCAAGCTCTATCACCAGTACGTCGACGAGGGCTGGATCCAGGGCGATGAGGAAGGCGAAGCGTTGCGAGGAGAGGCTCTTGGAGAACCATCGTCGAGGCATGGCGCCCATTTGCCCGACGACATGGATCCCCAGGAGAGGCTCAAGGTGCAGCAGGTCGTTCGCATCCTGCAGGAAGCCGAGAGGATCGCCGCCGGTCAGAAGAGTGGCCGCGCGGACAGGTCAGACGTCTCGGCATCATACGTCGACGCCGGGAGCCTCACGCTGCCGCAGATCCTCATGGACGCCGAGATCAACATCGCACGTCAAGACGCCCACACCGAGGCCAGCAGCGACGATGGTTTCAGTGTGCGAGGGCTACTTGCGCCCGAGGATGAGGCCACTCAACTGCGTACGCCGATGAGCGGCGCCAAGGCGGCTGCCACGATCGCTTCGCCGGCCACGCCCTTCCTTCCCGGCGGCTTCCGACCCGAACCTGCGTCAGTCGTTCGAGAGACTGTTCAGGTCCCTACGGCCAGCGATCGATCGATGGTAGCGCAGGTCGAGCCGACCGTCTGGGGCAGGAGCGATTGGGTCAGCCTCGACAAGTTCTTCGCTGCGCGCGTCAAGGCGAGCGCCAGGGCCATCCTCAGGGCTGATCTGTCGAGGAGCGGCATCGAGGATGTCTCTCACACGCAGATTGTCGATGTCGACAAGGTTGCGCTGCAGATCCAGGCGCTGCTCTCGGTCGATGCTCATGAGCTTGCTGGCGACTTCCTCGACCAGCGTGGAGTCGCCGAGAACGACAGAAGGGCTGAATGGGCGAGGTGAGTGGCTTGCATGCATCGTCGTGGTCGCCACTGCCGTGACACGGAGTCGTTCAAGGCTAACGCAGACGCGATCGCTCCCCCTTGCTGCACCTGCCGTTGATGCGCACCAGTTCCAAGATCCGCTTCCGCATACCGGCGCTGCAGCGCAAGTACCTCCGCAAGCTCGAGTCCAAGCATCCTGGCAGGGTGACGGCCGAGCACGTCTCGCTGCTCGACCAGTCCGCCCGAGGTGACCTGAGCAGCAACGCCCCTCTCCTCGCGCTCGGCTTGGGTCGTGCCGGCAACGGCGGCAACGGCAATGGCAACGACTCCATCGCCACCGAGGACCTCGACTGGTCGCTCACCGGCATGACGACCCGCATCCAGGCCAGCCGCGACGGACATGGCGATATGAGGGGCCAAGCGAACAGCTCAGCGACGGGGCTGAGGCCAAAGGAAGGTCGCCGCGCTGGGCGGGTCTCGTTCGGGACGCCCTACCGACTCGGAATGCACAGCACGCCGATGCCGGCGCTCAAAAGGGTGCAGGAGCAGGCAAAGCGAGATGGTCTCTACCCGTCCTTGCAGCAGCTCTCAGCAAGGACAAGCAAGGCCCAGGAAGCCGGCGTTGGAGTGGCCTCCTCGAACGAGCCAGCTGCCGCCGCTCCCACCGACGCGACGGCGTTGCCCAGGCAGGTGCAGACGCCCGCAAAGACAGACCAGGGTTCTGACGGCACCACGTCGACGCCCAGCGTGGTCGCTCGCACCACACGCCTCTTGTCGCGGATGAGCGGCAGCTTTTTTGGACTCGGCGCCTCGCCTGGTTCCACCTCGGCGTCGACGAGCGATGCCTCTGCAGGCAAGGCCGCGGCAGCATCGGCAATGAAGTCGATGGCGGCATCCGCTGCAACCACCGGCGACGCCAGCCGAGGATCAACGTCGAGCTCGGCTTCGCGCATTCCAGCTCTCAAGAAGGCCAAGGCGCGCCGACACACGCCCATCCGGCAGTTTGGAGGTCGTGCCAGCTCGCCAGTAGAGATGTCTGGCGGTGGCAAGGAGATGCAAATGGCGGCGCAGTCGGCCGCTCCCGTCTCGATTGATCAGCCGCCATCGCCGCCATCGCCGCCGCCGCCGCCGCCGTCAGAGCAGCCACAGCAGCAGCGGCAGAAGGTCGACGGAGTGAGCGCGAAGCCCCGGACCTCGTCGCCGCCGACTCAGCGTGCCACAACTCTCAACCGAAAGCCTAGCATCTCGGCCGCCGACCTGCAAGCCGCTAGCCGCTCGATCCGGGAGAAGCGCACCTCGACCTCGTTCCTCGCCCCCCGATACGACGACAGCACCAGCGCCAGCACAGCTTCGGGCCGCAGCACTCAGAACGTCGGCCGCGTCATCGACACACGACCCACGCCGGCGACGACAACAACGACAAACACGAAGACTGCGACGACGACGGCCTCTGCCGTCGACAGCGGCAAGGGCTCAATCACGATCCGACGGAGCAACTCGGGCTCGTCGGGGCTGGTCCGACCGACTGCGCTGTCGCTGCTGCCCAACGCCGAGGCGTCGCACCAGATGGCGCGGGAAAAGGTCAAGCAGCTGGCCAAGAGCCGGCAGGACCGCGACTGGAAGAGCCCGCGCGCGAGCCGAGTGACGAGGACACGCTCGCACGCCGAGAACCGCGTCGTCACCGCCATTGCCACCGAGATCCGCAAGCGGGCCGGCGGCGGTGGTGGTGGGAGCGGCGGTAGCGGCTCGTCGACACGGTAGATGATGATCGCCGGGGTCTTGGCAACCTAGGCCGGACTGTGACTGGTATTATGCGCGTCGTCGCTCCCCGCGACGAGCAGATAGATGGCGGAGCCGGGGGCGGCCTAGACGCTCCGCTTCCGACAGACGTAGAGGTAGTAATGAAACATGTCGCCAATCGTCTTGACCTCGATGTCCCACTCGTCTGGCCGTTCGAGGAGCGGGCGGCGGAAGTGGGGTTGTCCGAAGGTGAGGTAGATGAAGAGACCGCCTGGTTTGAGCAGTCTACAAAGATGCGGGGGCGGGGGCGGGGCAGGGGGAAGGGACGAGATCGGGTTAGAGACGAGGGGTCGAGGAGCAGGAGGGATCGAAGAGGAAGGAGGGAAGGGTACGTTACCTGAGTACACCGTCGACTTCGCCCTTGACCAAGGCGCGTACGCGCGGACTGGGGTCCCAAACGCTCCCCTTTTCCGCCATAAAGGCGTCCATGGTGCCCTTGTCGATGGCCACATCCCACGTCCCCTCCCCCTTTCCCCTTCCCTCCTTCTCCTCCTCGTCGTGCTCGTGGGTGGAGCAGAGCGCTGCGGGGTTGTCGTCGCTCGTCATCTGTGTGACGTCCATGACGAGCCACTTCATGCGTGTCTGTCCGCGCGCATCGTGTTTGCGCTTCATGCTCTCGATTAGGGGCGCCGAGTAGTCGAGGTTCGTTATCCTCTCGTACCCTGATGCGTACATGTCGCCGCTCAGTGCTGAGGGCGGTGAAGCGAGGGGGAGGCGAGGAAGGAAAGCAGGGTTGGTGCGACTGTGTCATGGATCCACTGGAGTCCGTTCAGGAGGGGAGGCCAAGGACTCACTGCTATTCCCGCATCCCAGCATCAAGATCCGCGCTTCCTTGGAAGGGATCAGCTCGTCAAAGATCGGTCTACCGTCAAGGTTGGGAGGTGGCAGGTTACCCAGTCGGTCAATGGCCTCACCACCCTTCTCCCTCGTCTCTGCGGGTTCCTCCAACTCACTTGAGGTCATCGTACTGTTCAAACCGACGCGCGCACAGCAGGCAAACGAGCCAGGAGATCAGCTCAACCTTCGTTTCCTTCCGGCGCAGCAATGATGGAGAGGTGGAGGGACAGGGGCCGACGAGGACGTACCGTCTTGAACCAATCAAACGTATCCTCGCCCTCCTTGAGGTCGGTATACCGCCGATCCCAGTAATCGCGCGTCGAAAACTGCTCGTTGTCCGTTGCCTCGAGACTCGACATCTTCTCTAGCGATAGGTCAGAGTACGAGGCGGCCTGAGTGAGGGAGGGTACAAGAGCGGGTCCTGGGGGGTGGGGACGAGGAGGTGGTGGTCGAAGTGGCACCGGCGTTGAGAAGCTTCGCATGCAAGGGTGCTCCTCCGGCTGGCTGGGCCTGGCCGGGCCTGGACCCGCACGCCCACCCAAAAAAAATGCCAAGCGATGCTCCCCGAGTTCCGCGCTTGGAGGGACGGTGGCTGGCACGCGCGACCCATCTTCTACGCCGCGCTCCTTGCCCGGCCGGGCGGTGGCCGGTGTCTGATTGGGCCTTGGAAGCGGGACTCGGTCTTAATAGGACGCGGGGGCAGGCGGCGCAAGCGATGTGATGGTCGAGGCTGCTTTTGGGAGAGGTCGTCGTTGAAAGAATGGGGCAGCGGACACGGGCCAGGATGGGCAACGCTGGCAGAGGACCTTGGACGAGGCCAAGGCGGGACAAGCAAGCGAGATTCAGGATAGGCACGGCAGCACGGCGGCATGTTCTTGTTTTTTTTCTGGGGACCAAGAAGAGAGAATCGTAGGATGAAAGGGTGGGAAAGAGGTGGGCGGGCGGGTGGCGATATGTGGCATACTACAACAGGAATGGACGAGGCAGAGGGAGGGAGCGGGGGGGATCAGGCGTTCATGTAGGAGCTGGCCTCGATGGTGTCGGGCAGCTCGGGCACGGCGACCTCGAACCGGCTCTGGATCTGCTTGAGCACCTCGCTGTCGGCCTCGCTCGAGACAAACATGATGGCCAGGCCCTTTGTGCCGAAACGGCCCGCACGTCCGACACGGTGGAGGTACGAGTCGGCGTCGGCGGGCGTGTCGTAGGAAATCGACACATTGACCCGCTCGACGTCGATGCCTCGGCCAAAGATGTCGGTCGAGACGAGGATGCGCTTCTCAAAGTTCTTGAACTGCTGGTAGCGGTTGATGCGCTCGTCCTGCGCCAGGCCGCCGTGGATGCAAATCGAGGGGAAGTTGCACTCCCGCAGCAGCTTGTCGAGCTCGTTGGCCCGCGCAATCGACTTGACGAAAATAATGACCTGGTTGAACTCGAGCGAGTCGAGCAGGTCGTTGAGCTTGCGGTTCTTGGCCGACTCCTCGAGCTGCACGTAGTGCTGCTGCAGGCCGTGCAGCGTCAGCTTGGTCTCGTCGTCGACGTAGATCTCGAGCGGCTGCAGGTGTGGGAGGGGGAGGGTCACGACGAGATGCCAGCGACGTGATGCGCGTCAGTACCCGTGCCCAAAGTCAGGCTTCAGCGGAGGGCCACGCTGGGAGCAACGCGGGAGCAACGAGGGGGAACTCACGTTCTGCATGAACTTCTTGCAAGTGGGTCGGACCTCCTTGGACAGGGTGGCCGAGAACATCATCACCTGCTTGTGGTGCGGCGTCGACCGGAAGATGTCCTGAACGTCTCGTCGCATGTCTGTGGATAAGGACAAAATAAAGCAGAAAGGAGAGGTGGTTTAGACTGGGAAGCCCCTCCGGCGAAGTGAGCGCTCAGCCTGAGCGCAGCGCACGGCAGCACGTACCCATCTGCTCGATGATCTTGTCGCACTCGTCAATGACAAAGTGCTTGACGCCGCTGACCTTGAGCGACTTGTCGCGGACGAGGGCGTTCAATCGTCCGGGCGTGCCGACGATAATGTGCGGGCACTTTGCCTTGTCCTTGAGCAGGGCCTGGTTCTCGGCGACCGGGGTGCCGCCGTAGATGACGGCGGTGCGGACGTCGGGCATGTACTTGGTGAAGCGGGCGTACTCGTTGCGGATCTGGTAGGCCAGCTCACGGGTGTGGCAGAGGACCAGCACCGAGACCTCGCCATCGACGGGCTCAATCTGCTGGAGCGTGGCCAGGACAAAGACGGCTGTCTTGCCCATACCGGACTTGGCCTGGCAGAGGACATCCATGCCCAGGATCGACTGGGGAATGCATTCTTGCTGGACTGTGGGCGGCGCGGAGCGCAAGAATGAGCAAAGCACAGACGCGCGAGCGATGGTGAGCAGGGATGATGGTGCTGAAGGTACGGCCGGCATCTATTGCCGACGCCATCGCGGCGGCGGATAACGCGTCGAGCGTCGTGCTCCGGCCCAGTCTTCCGACACTCACCTTCGGAAGGGTGCTCGAAACCAAGGTCGCTGATGGCACGGAGCAGCTCGGGCTTGAGCAAGAAGTCACGGAAACCCGTCGAGTGGATTCCGACGTAGGAACCCTGCAACGGCCGAAGGTGGTTCGCGGATCGTGGGCGGGCGAAGTCGGGGAGCGAATGAGGGGATGAGTAAGGTGTGCGACGAGGGCGAGGCGTCGTTTCATGGGCGAAGTGCGAAATCGGCTTGTGCATCCGGCGCCGCGTCGCGTTCCAGCGCGCAGCGGGTCGGGCCGCTCCGCTCGACACGGATCGTTGCCGAAAGCGATGCCGGGTCGGACCGTCGCAGCGACGCGATGGAGCGGACGGGACGCGTGGATGGAAGCTGAGAAGAAAAGATGCTTGCCTTTTTGTCCTTTTCCGCATCGGCGGTGGCGGCGTCGGCGCCGGTGGCAGCGGCACCGTTGGTGGCCGTGGTCGGGGCAACGGCGACCTCCTCCTCGTAGTCGATAAGACTGGCGAAAAGAGGGCGATGGCGAGGATCAAGCCGGAAGGGATCGCGTTTACGGCGGAGGTTGGGAGGTGTTCAAGGGTCAGTGGGGTGTTTCTATAGCCTAGCCTGGATCGAAGGGGCCCGAGATCGTCGTCGGGGCGGAGCGGCGGGGCGAGCTTGCGCGCGTTGCTTGACGGATATGAGCCGACAGGAGCAGCATCTTCGTTCGAGGCGAGGTGCTGGGCGGTAGCGGCCGACAGCAACGGCAGCAACGGCAGCAGCAGCGAGGGGCAGCCGAAGGAGCTTGATCCGACGGATGGAGCCGGAGCGAGGCCAGGGGTCGAAGCGGAGAGCGGCGGCTTGGCAAGGGCCAGTCCGTGGTGGAGGAGCGTGCGGCGATGACTTACTCCTCGTTGTCCATGGTGGGATGTGTATGGGTCGGTGAAACAAGGGGTAGCACTGAAAGTCGTGGAGCTGAGAAGTGTCGGCTGATGAACGTCGAAGAGGGCCGAGTCGATGTTGGTGGTGGTGGCAAGCAAGCAAGTCGAGATGTCAAAAGCAGACGCAGCTGCAGGGTGCCTCTCTGTGGATGGGCTGCCGTTGTGTGGGACGGGCGGGCGACCGACATCTGCGCGCCCCGGCCTCTGGGGGCTTCGCGAGACGCGATGCTGGAGTGATCGAGGCCGGGGGGGGAAATCTCGTGCGAAAGCCGCGGGGCCTGACCAGGCCCTCCCGATGGATGAAGCGGCCCGATAAATTCGGATGGTCCCGAGCCGGCATGGGCCGGTCAGGTATGCGCCGCGCCGCCGCCGTCGACCCCGACTACTGAGCCCGGGCCAGGCCGTCGGCGTGCAAGCAGCGCCACCCGCGGCATGTTGCCATTGGTGGCCTATCTATGTAGCTCTTCCCTCTTGGCGCACAATCGCGTGGGCTCGGGGCTACGGGAGGTCCTCTCACAGAGCAAAGGATGGGCGGCTTGGACGCCGAGCGAGGAAGGGCTGGAGCAGGGCGTGTGGAGCATGTGGGCCATTTGCCGGCCTGATTCGCGGTCTAGTTGCCCGCCGTCCTTCCCCCTCGACCCTGACGATCCCCGGCCACCTTGGCGCTGGGTCCTGCTCCTGCGCACGTCTCGCCGCCGAAAAGTCGTCTTATCGGCTGGCCCGGCCCTTCTTCTTAAAGCCTGCCAGCGTCGTCACTTGTCTCCGCCGCCCACCACCACCACCACCATCGCTGCCCCACTCGCCGTCTTTCGATCCAGGCTCATCCCTTCCGTCGCCACTCTATCCGACCAGCAACGAGTCCGCTGCCATTCGCCACAGTATCACCATGGGACGCTTCCTTAAGGAAAAGACGGTGGCCATCGTCGGTTGCCCCTTTAGCGGCGGTCAGGTGAGTGAGAGACGAGGCACTGCTGCGCATAGAGATGGGGACAGTGGTGTGGGAGAGAGCGTCTATGGCGAGCAGTCTGGGAGACGATCTCGGTGGACTGACCCTCTCGCTCCACGACCTGCCCCTCCCGCCTCGCCCTCGAACAGCGCCGCACCGGCGTCGACACGGGCCCGCACGCCCTCGTCTCGGCCGGCCTGCCCAAGCAGCTCGAGGAGCTCGGGTGGAAGGTCGAGTTCAACGGGCATCAGAAGTTTGAAGAGATCGGAAAGACAATCACCAGCGATGCCGACATCGGCGTCATGAAGCAGCCCCGCCTCGTCTCGGCCGTCACCAAGGCGGTGGCGGATACCGTCGAGAAGCACGCCCGCGCCGGCCACCTGCCCCTCACCCTCGGCGGCGACCACAGCCTCGCGCTCGGCACCGTGTCTGGATCGCTGCGCGTCCACTCGGACGCGGCGCTGATCTGGATCGACGCCCACGCCGACATCAACACGCCAGAGACGACCGAGACGGGCAACCTGCACGGCTGCCCCGTCTCGTTCCTCCTCGGCCTGCCGGGGACCGACGTCGAGCCGTTCAACTCGTGGGTGCCCGCCAAGCCGCTGCTTCGGTCCGACAGCCTCGTCTACATCGGCCTCCGCGACATTGATGCGGGCGAGCGCAAGATCCTGCGCGACAACAACATCAAGGCGTTCAGCATGCACCACGTCGACAAGTACGGCATCGGCAAGGTCGTCGAAATGGCCCTCGACCACGTCAACGGCAACTCGAGCCGCCGCGACCGTCCCGTCCACCTGTCGTTTGACGTCGACGCCCTCGACCCCACCGTCGCCCCCTCGACGGGCACCCCGGTCCGCGGCGGACTCACCTTCCGCGAGGGCCACTACATCTGCGAGGCCCTCTACGAGACGGGCTGCCTCGTCGCCGTCGATCTTATGGAGGTCAACCCGTCACTCCTCGAGGACAGGGACGCTCAGCAGACCATCGCCGTCGGCTGCTCCCTCGTCCGCGCCGCCATGGGCGAGACGCTCCTCTAGGCGGCCGGCCATGGGGCCGCGCATCCTGTGCACGCGCCCGCAGTGGCCGAGGTCGGTTCCTCGCTCGCCCTAGTCCCCTTGCCCCTGCCCCTCCCTACCCTGTCCGCCAGCTCCCCCACCAAAACCCCGCTGCTCGTAGATGAACCGGCATGGACACTCCGCCTCCCCCTCTTTGTACTACCACCGCAATCCCCGCAGTCACTGCCTCCTGGTCTCACCTTCGCGAAGGCAGCAATGTTGCATGCAGAGCGACTCTGACGAGCTCGCGATGACTCGTACACGAATGGCGAAGGGCGCTGTGATCAGGGGTCGGGCTGCCTGCCTGGCTGCCTTGTTGGCTTGCTGAGTGTTGTTACAAATATGTCGACGCAGCTCGAGACCCAGTGGCATCGGGTTGGCGCGTCGAGGGTGCATCGAGCGTTGTCGACGGGCAAAGAGCGGGCGGTGCTGACAGAAAGCTGCGTGCTCGGCGTGGCATGGATCAATCGCGGACGGAGCTAGTAGTCGTCGTCGTCGCTGTCGATGATGCGACGGCTCCCGCCCGTCCTGGCGGAGCGTCTCTCGCCGTCGCCGTCGCTGTCGCCATCGCTGCTGCCGCCGCTGCCGCTGCTGTGAGAACCGTCGGCGGTCTCGAAGCTTCCTTCGCCTCGATCGGAGCCGGCAAAGCTGCCGCCCTGGATCGACGACTTCAGGCAAGGAGGCAGGATGAGACAGAGGCGTCAGTGTGTGTCGAGGTTTGAGCTTGGCTTGTCGAGCGGTATCGCAACGGAAAAGAGGCACATACCATGTCTTCGTCGCCATCATCGTCGTTCTCCGCGCGATCGTGGTCGCTGCGGCGGCTTTCGCCCCCACTCGACTCCTCGTCACTGTCCATGAGCCTCCCGCCGGCGGCACCGCGCCCCCTACGTCCCCTCAGGTGGTCGTGCGCCCCGTCTTCGTCGTCGTCGTATCCGTGACTGACGTCGCTGTTCGAGCTCACTTCGATGGCATCATCGGCAGCGTCCTCGCGTCCACTGCCACGCGATGAGCCCGTCATCGTGCTCTCGCTCCGGAATCGTCGTCGCCGCCGTCTTCTGCCGGCCCCGTCGTCGTCCGTATCCGTGCTGGCGTCGTCCTCGTCCTCGTCGTCCGAGATCTCGATCGCCTCGGCCTGCCTGTAGATCCGCCTGGGACCGTCGATGAACCCATCATCTTCCTCGTCGTCGTCATCGCCGTCGTCGGCGTGCCTCCTGCCGTCCTCGTCGAGGTCGTCCTCGATAAAGGAGCGCATGTCATCCTCGCTGTCGCTGAACTGGCTGTCCCGGGACCGCGAGCCGTCGGACCCCGGCGAGCGGTGGCGGCGGCCGTTGGCTTCGCCGCCGTAGTAGCCGCCAAAGTGGCCGTGGATGTCGTCCGAGGGCAGCAAGAGGTCTGAGCCGTACTCGTCGTCGGACATGTCCGAGTACTCGATGCCGCTGTCAGCAGAGAGTCGGAAGGGAGTCGGAAGAGGGGAAAGGTTGTCGAGGTTCAGCGACTGCCTGACATGCTCGAGGCCGACCCGCCGTGTCAGATGCACAAACTCACCAGTCCGGGTTGGAGCACACACCCTCCCAGATCTCACTGGCGCACTCTCCGCACCGCCTGACGCCATCGCCCTCGTCGTAGAGGATCCTTCTCGGTCCACGCCCGTCGAAGATGTCCTCCCACAGCTTGGGCCCGGCGGGCAGATCCTCGCCCCTCGCCTTTGCGATCTCGAGCGAGCTCAGCGTGTCGTCCGGCAGGCCGCAGTCCGAGGTGCCGACGGTCCTGGCTGCCGAGTCGAGCTTCTCCAGCATGCCCTTGACCAGCCAGATCTCGACCGGCGGGCACGCCAGCTCCGTCCTGCACGCCGGGCAGGTCTTTTTGCGCCTCTGCGTCCGTCGCTGCTCCTCTCTTGCTCGCTCCTCGGCATTGAGGCCCGGCGGCAGGTCGCCTTCCTTGTCGAGCGGCTTGGTGAACCACGACATCAGGCAGACGACGCAGAAGGTGTGGCCGCACGGCGCCAGTCTGCGCGGGAGGTGAGGTGCCAGACGAGAGTGAGACAGAGCAGGTGAGCTCCAGATGTCGATGACAAGAGGATCAAGGTGCAAATGCCAGCCGACGCAAAAACTCACATGAAGGGTCTCCACACGAGCTCGAGGCAAATGGTGCAGGTGCACTGGTGATAGATGTGTTTGATGGTCGAGCGCTGCGTCTCGATGAGCTCGTTCTTGGTCGAGAGCTCCTTTCGCAGTCGCTCAACCTCGTGCTGCAGCTCCTGGGGATCGCCCGTCGAGATCGAAGCGGTCACTGCTGCTGCCGCTGCAGAGGGCGATGCTGCCGCAGGTTGCGTCGATGCTTGCTCGGTATCCGGACCCTCCTCTGCCACGGCGCCCGGCGCCTTTGTCTTTCCCTTGTCGCCAGCGAGTCCGTCGTCTCTGGCGTCGCTGGCGGTTTGTGATGAGGAGGACGGGCCAGCTTCTGCGGTCTGCTCAACCTCTGCTTCAGCAGCGCCATCGGCCATCGGTGTCGCTTCTGGACTGACGTCGATCACCTCTGCTCCGACTGCAGTGCATGAATGCGGTGCATCGAGAAGAGAAAGTCAGTATCGCTGGTCTCCCGGCACATCGGCTCGCGGGTTCAGAGTCGTTCCCTACTCACCATTCGCCTTCCTCTTCTTGTTCTTCCTCGCAGGCCTGTCTGAAGAGGCCGAACGTTGACGAGTGACTGCTGGCAGGCCATCGTCGTCGCGAGCCGCGGACTTGGCAGCGGCGGACCCCGAATCCGCTGCGAGACTCTCCTGGTGCTGCTGCTCTGCCTCCCCGCCTTCGTCGTCTTTGAAGGCCGACCTCGACCTCTTCTTCCTGTCGGCGGCACGGCTCGTCGTCGGCGCCTCCATCCTCAGTCACTGGAGCCAAGTGGCAAAGCTTCGCAGCACGCGGGCAGGGCTGACGATGTTGAGAGCGAGTGGGGGAATATTTACGTCGGGCAATGGCGGTGTTGCCGTTGAGCCTCACCTTCGTGAAGCCTCGGTGAGTCTAGAAGCGTGCGGGTGTGATGCTCGAGGGCCAGTCGACAGGTCCAGCCCGGTGGAGCTGAGCAGGCAAATGGTGGGCGCAGAAGCGGCGGGGTGCGCTGAGTCGAGCGGTAGCACTCTCGTGATGTTGCAAGAGACTAGAGTGCAGTGGTAGAGGCTGTGGCGGCGTTGGCGGGGGGTGATGATGGTGGTGGTGGTGGGGTGGAAAACGCCGTCCTGGCCACAGTTATTGAGCGGTCCGAGCCAGGCTAGGGTCCTGCGGAAGTGTCTTGGCTGGGCTGGCCTGGCCTGGCCTGTCCTGGCGGACCCACGGGCCACGCATGCCGCGCCGTGCTGGCCCTGGCTCCGCAGCGGGGCCAGCCAGCCAGGGACCAACACCTGGCGCGCCGCCATTTTTTGGCTCAAGCAAGGCGCACACCCGACTTCCGCGCATCTGCGTCTAGTTACATGCGCTGCCTCCGCTGCCACAGAGGGCTCTCTCGCTATAGTCACACTCGAAGACTCTCTCTCTCTCTCTATGAGCTTGCCATCGTCGTAACGACCAGGCGCTCCTCCCTTTTCCCTGCCACCTCTGGCAGGCGTCGAGCTCCACAGTCATGGCCTGCAATTCAGACCGGGCGTTTTCAGTGGGCGATCTTCTGCATTTGCTCGCTCAGCGACGTCTCCGACCGGACCTATGCCGCAATCGCAGGACCGGAGCCAGCCTGGGCTTCTTGTGCTTTCGTCTGCAGTGCAACGATCTGAGAAGGCGGAGAAGGAGGCGGTGTAGTCGAGGGGGACGGACGGAGAGCAAAGGGACGGGGTCAGCGGGGCAAACACTCGCGGCCTGAGTCGCGAGCAGCGTCGGGACACGCACCTCGACCTTCTTCTTCTCCATCTTGTCGTTGAGGTCCTGCAGCTGCTTCTCGACCCGCTCGCTGTGGCGAGCGAGGAGATAATCGATCAGGAAGATGCCAGCGGTAGGGGAGTCAGCTGGGCTCTCTGGACGCCTCAAACATCTTCCTGGGCACGGCCGGGGCTCACATTTCGGACTTGATAAACTCGATGCGCTTGTCGACGTTGCTCTTTGCCTCTGTCTGGTCCTGCTTGACCAGCACAGGACCAATGAGCTTGTAGATCTGGTTTGACGACGATAGCGAGTCGAACTCCTGTGGACGGCGAGGTGAGAGCAGCGACGAGATGCCGCGTCCATGCAACTCAGCCGGCGAGTTCGACAGCAATGGCATTCGAGCGCGCGCAGGGGCTCACCTTTTTCACTTGGAGGTTCTCTGACAGCTGCGAGTCGAGCCGCTGCCTTGCCTCGACCGTGGTCTGGAATGCTGTTGGGTCGACGAGGGAGCGGGCCGAGAGAGAGGGAGAGAGAGAGAGTTGGATCAGCGCCCGTGCGGGTCTGCCTGCGAGCGTGCTGGTGAGCCGTGGACGCGGCGTGCTCACTGTTCTGGAGCTTTTGGAACTCTGCGACGATTGCCTCCATGCTGGGCCAGGGTGTATGTGCGAGCGGCGCAGAGAGGGACGACGGGTGGTGGTGATATGGGGAGGTGCGGGTGGGTGGGCGTAGAAGGGTGCCGCCGCCATCGGAGCAGCCGCTCCAGCCCCGCAATTTGGCCGGCCATTCCGAGAGGTCGGCGGGGCCGTGAGCCTGGGAGCGGCCCGCTGCCCGAGACCCGCGTTTCGGATGACTGCCGGACAGAGGCAGCCCGGCCAGAAAGAAGAAAGCAACAGCGCAGCGTGGCGCCGAACGAAGCAAGAGGTGGAGGAAAGGCGCGGGTGGGCCTGGCCAGCTGCGCCCAAAATGACGGCGATTTTTACGAGGCAAAATCCAGAACGGGGTCGTCTGGTGGGCCTCGCTCGCTCACTCACCCACCCTCTCACCCGCTCTAACTTAGCACCTGCTGCCACTACCGACGACCATCGTCGCCTTTGCCATCCGATCGTCATCGCACACACGCATTCGACACCCCTCTTCGCCGCGGCGGAACCCGATCCGAAATGCAGGCGGCGGCCACGCACGCACCACCCGACTCCGCCGACGAGCTGGGCGAGCCCGTGCCAAAGGTGCCCAACTCGCCGTCCTCGGCCTTTGCCTGCCTCTCTCTCGACGACGACGACGACTACGACGACGGCGACTGCAACGACAGCTCCCAGCGCCCCACAGGGACCTCGCAGCACATGGGGGGCAACGCCAGCAAGGCCGCCGAGGTCGCTTCGGCCACCCGCCTCGTAGAGGCCCTCGACGCCGCCAGGAAGAGGCCCAAACCCTTGATCCGCTCCACCGGACACCGCGTACAGGGCCCGCGCGACGAGCAGCACCACCTCCTCTCGTGGAAGACGAGCGAGTTCGCCTACCGCAAGAGCAGCACAACGGGCTCCGACCTGCCCACCCTCGCTCGCGGCCTCTTTACCGAGAGGCTCCTCACCCGCGATGGCAGCGTCCAGCACAGGGTGGCCGTGCGCGGCTACGACAAGTTCTTCAACCTGGCAGAGATGCCCTGGACAAGGCCAGAGGCCATCCGTGCCTACACCGTCCCGCCCTATATCCTCACCTTCAAGGAAAACGGCTGCATCATCTTCATCGCCGCCCTGTCCGATCACCAGCTCGTCGTCACGTCAAAGCACTCGACCGGCGCCCTCGACGGCGTCGCCGTCACCCACGCCCAAAAGGGCGAGGAGTGGCTCGACGTCCACCTCGCCCGCGCCGCAAAGACGCGCGAGCAGCTCGCCCGCGAGCTGTGGCAGCGCAACGAGACGGCCGTCTTTGAGCTGTGCGACGACAGCTTCGAAGAGCACGTGCTCGAGTACCCGGCGGAGAAGTCGGGACTGCACCTCCACGGCCTCAATGCCAACTCGGCCACGTTCCGCACGCGGCCCATGGACGAGGTCGACGCCTTTGCGCGGGAGTGGGGCTTTATCCCCACGCGCTACATCGAGGTCGCCTCGCTCGCCGAGCTCCACGAGCTGACGGATCGCATCGGCATGTCCGGATCCTGGGAGGGCGAGCCGATCGAGGGCTTCGTCATCCGCACCCGCATGCCGTCCACCGACCCGGCCGGCCAGTCGTCGGGCGGCGCGTCCACCGAGGCCGAATCGAGCTCGGCGGGCTCGACGCGCGCGCCCGTGTCGCCTCCGTACGCGCCGGGCCAGACGTGGTTCTACAAGGTCAAGTTCGACGAGCCCTACCTCATGTACCGCGACTGGCGCGAGCTGACGCGCAAGATGCTCTCGCAGAAGGCAGCGTGGGAGAAGACGGTCCACGCCCGCGGTGGGGGCGGGAGCGGCGCAAACACCATCCCGGGTGCAACAGGGCCGGCCACCGTCGACGAGCCCATCTCCTCCCCCGCCGAACCGGCCACCACCGAGGCGACGTCCTCTGCAGCAGCCGACGCCGACGCCGACGCCGACACCGGCGAGGCCAAGGTGAGCAAGAGCCAGCTCAAGAGGGAGAAGAAGAAGCTCGAGCGCGAGAAGCGCGAAGCCGAGGCCAAGCAGCGGGCAGCGGCCATCCAGGCGGGCATCGCGCCGCCGGAACCGCCGCAGGCGAGGTCCAAGCGGCCCGAGACGCTCATCTTCATCCAGTGGTGCTACGACCGGCTGTACGGCGCCAACGGCGTAAAGGCGCGGCCGGACCTGTTTGCCACGTTCGGCGAGGGCAAGGGCATCATCGCGCTGCGCAACACGTTCCTTGACTACCTCAAGGCGGCAGAGGGGCAGCAGAAGCTCGCCGCGCTGGGCGGGGGCGGGGGCGACGGGAGCAACGGGGCGGCCGTCGAAGCAGCAGCGGCAGAGGACACGCGGCCGTTTACCAAGACGCTCATCACGCCCATCGCCGTGCCCGGCTGCGGCAAGACGGTGCTCGCCGTGGCGCTGTCGGAGCTGTTCGGGTTCGCGCACGTGCAGAGCGACGACTTCAAGGGCAAGAAGGGCTTCCTCGCCAGCGTCGACAAGGAGCTCCAGGCGCACGACGTCGTCTTTGCCGACAAGAACAACCACCTCTTCCAGCAGCGCGACGAGCTCATTGAGCTGATGCAGAAGCGCAGCGATCCTAACCAGGTCGTCAAGCCGCCGTCGAAGAAGAAAAAGGGCAAGGGCGGCGGCGAGGACGAGGCATCGGCCGCTCCGCCCGCCATCCCGCGCATCCGCACAGTGGCCGTGGCGTGGCAGCTGGATGCGCTGCCGCTCAATGCGCTGCACCGCATCTGCTCCGACCGCATCCTGGCGCGCGGCGACAACCACCAAACGTTGCGCGCCGACACGACGGGCGCGGCGGGGACGCGCGACCACGAGACGGTGCTGTGGCGCTTCCTCGAGCAGCTGCAGCCCTACGGCAGCACCCTGGGCGGCGAGGGGTCCGAGGGATTCGGCGACG